CTTCAAGAGGTTTTCTCCCCGAAATTAAGGACTAGAGCGTGATGAAAGAACAAGTCCTTCTGATTGGTCAAACCAAGAGTTTTATTTCCACCTGTTAAGAGACACCTTTGCTTACCAGCAGAGTCCAACACAGATGGGCAGACAGACTCGAATACAGTTAAATACAGGAAAAATTGAACTATATACAGCAAGACAGACATCTACATATTATAAAGACTTTTTTCCTGTATCTATGAGTTCTTGCCAATGCAAAACATTACTGGAACTCAAGTATATTCAGATTTTTTTCTTTTTTCCCCTTAAAAAGAAAGCATGTAATGAATTTCCTATTTTTTCCATTTACTGAGGCATAATATCCATTTTGAGATGCACAAAATTTGTGGCACTTCACAGGGTACACAAAAGCTAAAAATGTTTTGTCTTGTTATTTTATAGTTTATGATATCTAAATTTCAATTAAATCTATTTATGGAGACACTAACTGTAAAGTGTTATTTACATGGAGGGAGTTGTGCAAAGTCATTTAGGCTATGGCTAGTACACTGTGAAAGATGCATGGTTAAGGAACTCACCCTCATCCCCAGAAGTAATCCCTTAAATCCTCTTTTGATCGTTTTTCTCAAGAAGCAGTCACCCAAAGAAAACTGGCCATAATTTAGTATTATTTGTTTCTTAAGCTACTTGGAGAAAGCTGTTCCTGTGACCCTTAAGGGTCTTGACTCTTTTAATGTTGGTTTTTTTCTCTTCACACAGTTAATGCTTTAAGCATTGACTATCTGCTTTTTGGGACACAAATGCAGCCGTCACCATCACCACACTACCCTAAGACAGCTGTAGTCCTTGCCTGTAGTTTCCATTACCAGTGGGAGCACACAGGAACTGAATGTGTGTAACTTTGCAGGAGTCACCCTACAGCCACAATGCAGAAACTGCATATTCCTGCTAACAGTGCTGAACCAAAGCTATTCCAAACCAGGGTGGGGAAGGTACTGCATTTCTTCAGACAGAATTTACAGAACAAAACTTTGTATTGCTATATCCAGAAACATCCCTAAACATCCTCATTTAAAAAAAAAAAAGAAAAAAATCAACTTTACTTTGGGTTGCAAACTTTAAGAAAGATCTTGAAACAGCTAATTACAAGAGCTGCTGTAATTAAAGACTTCCTACAGATCCCTAGGACAGGTTAGCAAAGACATATCCTACAGTTGTGCTGCACCAGGGCACAGAATGGTTCTTATAATGGTTTCCATAATCAACCAACTGCCAAAAGGTGTCCAAGGTTAATTCTGGACTTTTTCACAGATACGCCTACTGCAAATGTGGATCATAAAACACCTATTTTTATCATCTTGTCTACATAAACCTGTTTGTATCGGCTCATCTAGGATTCTACATCAGCTTGCACATTTAGTAACAGACTTGAAGTAGACATTTAGAACTCAGTTCTGGGGTGAAAAAAAAGTAACTTGATAACAGTACATAAACTGGTGTATTCTTGCCTTCTGAAATAGAGGAATTCTCTCTCCTAGGACATATATCCGCCTTCTCTTCTTTTTTAAAAATACACATTTAAAGAAAGCTGGGCAACCCTCAGGGCAAAGAGTGACTAAACTTCTCTCTCAAAAAGCTGTCAAGTTAACATTGCAACCAAACACCTTCTAAAGCCTCCACTTCCTAAATCCACGGCAGTACGGTTATTTAATTTTCAATCCTATGCACCAGGCTACAACCAGTCAAGTATCAGTGTAACAACCAGAGAGAACAGTAAAGCAAACACACTCAAAGCATTAAACAGGGAACAGCTGACACAGTAAGAAGATCTGTAGGTAGTTTGGTATTCACCTGACAAGAGGACAGCATACAGTTTGCTTCTTATTCATCACTCGGAAGCCTAGAGAAGTCTATATTCTCATTAGTTATTAGGAGAGAGTGTTACAGCACAGCAGTAAACCCAAGAGACCACCTCATCATGTTAGAAAATAAATTCAGTGTTTGGATTCAAATACAGGAATTCTTGGGAGTTAAAACAATCAAAGAAGTATTTTCACATTGTACATGTTGCAACATTTCTACGTACTTTAGATCTCATGGAGTTCATAAAAACATCTACATGTTCAAGCCTTCTGCTCAAAACACCTGACTGCTGGTCAACAGCAGGTTATTTTATTGCATAACCTTCATTGTCAATTTAAGCCTTGTTTATGAAAACACAAGCCATCAGTACAGAACTTACTCTACTTGGGCAAAGATGACATGCAGGAAAGTAAGAGTTGTGAACTTCTTACAGGACAAAAACAAAAGTGTAATTAAATGGTAAATTGATAATCTGTCTTCTGAAAAGGAAACTATTCCATATCTATATGTGACGGTGGGAATAATTTATAGAGTAAGAAAAAACAAAATATTCAGGCCCCCTCATTTTAGCATTAGAAAAAGTAGAAGAAAATTGATTAATTGCTTCCTTCCTGGTCTAGGCTGCTAGTCTAGTTTATAGACAGTCATTGATAAAACATTATAACAAGGAACATAACAAGAAGCAGCTTGGACCATAAAAAAAAGTTGTCTAGATACATACAAGTCGTTCTCCAAAAAAACACCAAAACGATTTTATTTGGATTTGTGCACAACCTGTTGCTCTTTAAATCTTCAGAGCACTGAAAACATGACATTTTCCCCCAAAATCCATTGAGACTGTCCTGAGAAGTAAAAGTACTCATATATAAATGGGATGATATTGTCTGTGAGTGAGTTTCTTCCTGCAGGTTGGGCAAGAGTTGGCATTCCTAAGGGAATCACGGAGGCACTGACTGCAGAAGACATGGCCACATTTTGTTGACACAATCAGTCGTCCACTTTGCACAATCTGGAAGAAAGGAAACCACAACAGGCACTGGAAGTAAAGAATTCAACTTTGCTGGTCTCCTGCCACCAGGCAAACAGGACTTAGATATCTGGAATTGTCTTCTACTCTTAGAATAATAAGGAACTGAAAGATCTTTCAGTGCCATCCTGGCAAAAGTTTCTGCCTCTATCCACACCACCAAGAAGTGACTTGGAGTGACAAGTTAGTGTGAGCTTCAAAACAAGCTCTGTGCTTCAAGTTAGATCTCTGCAACATCCCAAACAGGCCAACTGAGTTGTGCAGCTCCCCCTCTGCCCCATTCTCCCTCCCACAAGACAGAAAAGATGACAGCATGTGGACTCTTACCTCTGAGTAGACATCCATGCAAATGGGACAGCTAACAGTACCAGACGGCCTTGTGGCAGAGAGAACAGAACAAGAAAGAACACGCAGCCATTAATCTCACTGCATGTCGAGCGTTCCCGACACACAAAATGTCCCGTCACCATCCGAGCGCAGACCAGCCATGACACAGTTCTTTTGAAGATCCCCGTATATCTTTAGCTCCCTCAGTTTGTGGCACGTAATAAGGAGTTTGGGTCTCCTTGTTTTAAGGGAAAGGTTTTCACTAGGGGGAAGATGCAGTCAGTCACCCTGCTCTATTGCACACACACTTGCCAAAGGGATACAGCTCAGCTGCCTAAGGAACATGTCCTAGCCCAACCGCTAAATATTATTCTCTATTAGAAAGAGCTTCCTGCTCTTTTCTTTTGAAACCAATTTCTATTTTAAACTTTCAGACCTCTACCTTAAACACTTGGCTTTATGTCACCACTCATGTTAAATCACAGTTTGTAATTTATTAATCATAGAGGAATAGAAAGCATGGGACAGCTTAAATTCAAGCAGGGAACCCTACTAACACCCACCCCTTGTTTAACCTAGAAAATTTAACTCCACTAATTCTCCCATTTTTACTCCTCAAATTCTTTAGGCAGCAGCTATAATAGCACCTCAGTAACAAATCATAATTAATGATAATCTTCTCAGAAGGAAGATGAGGCCAACTCTACAGATGGCTCTGGCAATCTCCAGCACCAGGGAGGACCCTTTTGTCAATGTTAAATGCTGCAGCAGTGAATTCTTTCAGCCTCACCTACACAGAGCAGGAAGGCACAGTCTTTAACAGAGAAGCCTGAGGCTGAAGAAACAAACTAATATTTTTCATATTATCCAATTAGTGGGATTTGTTCTCTGAAATACTTAACAACCAAAATTTAAACATCTATAAATCCACTGTCAAAATGCACTATGAGTTAGAATAGTATAGGCCCTTTCAATGGCATATTTATGATCTGACACCCAGAAGTCCCAAACTCGAGTTCTCTCTCACATTGCCTTTCAGTAATCCAAAAGGCTCAAAGCACATCAGCTTCATTAAATCCTGTACTTTTCCCCCTCCGAAGAACCACTTTAAAAAAAGTTTATACGACAATTCTTATGTCCTTTGTCTTCCCTAGTCACAGAAAACCCAAGTTCTCTTAATTAGTCTAAACATTACAGCAGGACTTTACTGTTTCTCTGCTCAATGGGGTCTTTACTGACTGAAACAGCAAGTTCCCTATCTCACATGCAGGGAGATAGGGCTCCATAACATCCATGGGACAGAACAAGAACTGGCCATAAGAGCACAACCTCCACAATCGTCTTGCAAGGATACCTTGGGGAGGATGGCTGCTGCTTGGAGAAAGGCTGCAAGTGGCACAGTGTGCAAAACAAGCAGGGAATGCAGAAGCATTTTTACTGGAATTTGCCAGGCTGTTGCCTACCAGTCTTGTGATATCAAACCTCATTGACACCAACAAAAGTATTTCCATATCTAAAATAACTACTAGAGTTTTGTATAAAAAGCAAATGCAATACATTGTGAGCTATGGTCTGTGACTAATCCCCCTTCCTTGCCATACCCCCATACTCATCTTTAAGGCTGTATACAAAGTTGTACATCTGTCTTGGGCTGGCTTTTCATCCTGAAGTGGAAATGGTATCATTTGATCATCATGCAACATGGGATGTTGTACTCATTGAAAGAGGGAACTAAGTGAAGGCTTCAAAGACAAGTCAGGCGATGGCCATACAAGTCAGTGCTGTCTTTATCAAAAGAAGCACAACGCAATGTTTGGTAGGTCATGAGGCATACGTACTTAGTGCTTTCAGTTTCCTCTTCCAGTGGTCCCAGTTCTCGAGACACTTTTTCAGTCACATACACATCATTATCTCTTGTTTCATCTTCATCATCGCTACTCAGTACACAGCTGTCCGACTGTCGCTGGCTTCTTAGTCTGAGATTTCTCCTTTGTCGTTGATTCTCTGCAATTTAATTTTTTAAGTTAGCTATACTATTATCTCTCTCTATCTGGAACTATCCTTGAAATGCGAGATTAGAAATATTCTGTAAGGGTTCCTATTTTAAATGGACCATACTCAGCTGGGTTAAAAGCAACCTTAAACAAACTAGTTTCCTAAATATTAAGGCCGAACATGTCCAAATATTGTGAATATTTTGCTACATAATGACAGAAAACATTTGCATTCCTCCCCCTACAAACAGCTAAAACGTGACCTTAAAGATTCTCAGTGTCACATGTTTCATGTAATTACACCACCTGTGAATCAATTTCCCCTGTAAAAAGAAGATACCCCTCCCAGTCCCTACTGACAGAAACTGCTTCGATCCTATGGTGAGGAACTGCAACAGTTGCTGTGTGATAGGGAAGGGAGAAGACTGAAGTCAATTATCTCTGCAACTCCAGTGTCCATGTAAAAATAATCAAGCACTAATCAATTAAAATGACATAAAGAGTCACAAAATTAAAGTATCTTCCTGCCTAAGTGTTCAGCTACAACTTTTAATGTCGGTACTTTTCACTTGCTCTTGCTTCATTTAGAGCACAGAACAGACTACATTCTAGGTAAGCAGCTGACAACATACTAATGCATGTCTAATAATATAATCAGAACAAGGCTGACAGATATAAAGGATTAACTTTCTTAGACCTGTAACTATTTTAATATCTAAAGCAATAAAAAAACCAACTTGTTAATTAACACTTGTTAATACTACTCTCTACAAAATTTGAAGCATGTTAGAGTAGATAATGAAACTGAATACTATGACAACAATCACTTTCTCCTTAAGCTCCTTCACTGCAATACAGGTTAAACAAATCTTTTGACATTTTCTTTTTTATTCAAAGCTGATATTCCAGTGCTAATTAAAATTATGGTCAACTTGGGGCTTAAAGAAATTCTATTTTTGTAAAGTAAGAAGCAATTAAAACAGCTTTGATGTATTTTATTTCAGGTACTTTCTACAAGCTCTGATAGTGACTATGAAACACAGACTGGATTCATTCTCTTAAGACACCAGCTAGATGCTTTATCAATATCCTTTGCCTTTTCCTAAATGCATTTTCAATTTATGCTGCTCAAGCTCATTGGAAAAGGCAAACAAAAATAATAAGTCCATTTAAGACAATTCCATTACCAATTTTAAAACGTCCACTCACCTTCAACAATCTTGCATCAATACATATGGGAAAGAAGAGAAAACAAAATACAATTAGACTTTGTTGTGCACCCCTGGTATTACATACAAACACCAGTTAAGCAAAGCAGTTACAACAAAACAAGCTAAGAATGGTAGGCTATTGCTCTTGTTTTGATTAAGAATGTTAAAAGTATTATATTAACTGCTGCTCTCTAAACAACCAAGTGGATGCTGATGGTTCTGCTTCCACTGCTCCAATGGGGTAGAAATAAAGGCAGCTTATGAACCACCTGAACCCCTTCCTCCCTGCTCCCCCATTTCAGTGCCATGATTTATGGTTTCAGGCTGGAGGCGATTCTTTCCCTCTTTCTCCCCAAACAGGCCGATTCAGCAGTGATGTCCATAAATGCTTCATATGAGAGCAGCTGCTGAAAGGAAACAAAATAATCCCCAACCCACTGTTGTCTTTGGTGGAACTGGAGCAGGGGCAGTGCAATTGTAAAGTTTGAAGCCTTTCTTTTGCAAAGGCTAAGGAACAATCCCATCAAGAAGTACCCCCATGCTATTCCTGCTGCTTGTTTCTGATTTGCATAGCAGCAGTGGCATCCCAAATCTGAGAGGATAAACCACACTGCTGGCTGGATCAAAGCTTTCAAAACAGCAGTAAAGGGGGAAAAAAGTAGATTTTTTTTTAAGACTTGTTGGAGTAATGAGATCAAATGCACCCAGTCAGCTAAAGTTGTGCTTGGCATCTCTGACAGGAGTACCTCAAACCAATGCAGCAGCTAAACACTTCACATAAGAATAAGTCAAAGACGTACTCTTCTCTCCCTTGGCTTTTTCTTTAAATCACTAGGGATATTTGAAAAAATTCTTCACCAAAAGGGTTGGCAAGCACTGGAAGAGGCTACCTAGGACAGTGCTTGAGTCCCCATCCCTGGAAGTATTTCAAAGACATGTAGATGTCATGCTTAGGGACATGGTTTAGTTGTGGACTTGGTGGTGCTGGGTGAACGGTTGGACTCAATCATCTTAGAGGTTTTTTCAACCTGAACAATTCTATGATTCTATCTTTGATATATCTAGAAAAGCTTCAACTATCTCTTTATGTTACACTACTCATGACTGATATATATTCACATCAGGTTCTGGAGCAAAGAGGTATTTTATATTATCCTATCACTACCTGCAAGTGCACCTCCAGAGCAGCTTCTGTGTTATGTGTAACAAAGGGCTTCCATGCACTGACAAGTCAATTTTGAACTTAAAGTCAGATTCTATAAGGGAACACAAGAGAAAACTAATTTGACTACAAGATTTAGACAAGTGTGCTGTTCACTACTTACCACAACGGAATCATTGTGAGTTAGATCAACAACCACAGGATCTGAAGATTCACATGTGAGATCTACTACTTCTTCACCAGCTGAAAAACAGAATGTTAGAATCAAGATCAGAGATTGCAGAAGAGTAAAATTGCCTGCCACTGTACAACAGGCCAAGATTCAACCACGTTCTGTCCGTTTTATCTATAAAAATGTGTCCAACATTTCACTCAAGTTTTGCCCTCAGCAGTCCACGCAGAGCATTACCTGCCCTGTCTTCTGCAAGCTGCAATGCAAGGGGAACAGCAGCTGAGCTCCTCACACAGTTCTGTTGGATAATACAGCTTGTGGGAGGCACACAGCAAAAAACAATTCATCTGACACAGTAGAATGTTCATCACACAGAAAAAAAATAATAACTTTAAAGTACCATGCTGCACATGTTCCCTTTAAATGGGACACAACTAATGACAGAGCTTTTCTTATCTTTTTCAAACCCAGGAGTTCCCAAACTTAGTTTGCCACTCTCTGTAGTGGCAGCTGCAGTGACTCCCAGCTCATCAGAGTAGACTTCCAGATGTTTGAGCAGCTTTTGAGGACCTTTCCTATGCAACTCATCTTTCGCTAGTGGTAAATGTATCGTAGCTCAGAACTAAATCAAACCAGTTGTCAGTAGCTTGTTATTTCAAGATGCCACACTAGGTGCTTCCATTCTAGGTTTCCCTTCCTCTACAGTAAAGGGCCTAGAAACGAACATTTTCTAGGCTAAAACACACATTCAGTTGAACACCAACCCTCCAGAAGCAGTTTCTGTTCTTACCAAGTTCAAAAGAAAGCTTACCACTTTCTTCAAGTTCTATTGGCTCTGCTTCTGACGCCATTTCTGCAGTAGAAGCCGTGAGCCTGCTTCTTTTTCGAGCTTGCCTAGAATTAACTGCTCCCCCACGGCGCTTTCGTTGAGTCTAAGAGAGAACAAAGACTTAGCATTTTCTGTGTGAGTAATATTAATGTGGCCCTCGATTTTGCAACACCAACGGAAGCACACAAGGATACAGACAACACTCCTGGAATGATTGTAGCATTCATTGAATGGTGGTATGAGTTATTCCTACCTGAATGCATGGCATCAATGAAAAGACATCACCCCAGATCTCTTACCAGTTGTCTCACCAAGAAAAAGCCTATCAGGATGGTTTGAAAATGAGAAGACTAGTTCACAATTTATCAGGTTTTTGCTCACATTATAAGCATTTCTGAACTATTGCTAGCACCTAGAGAGATTCAAAATCTTCATTACCACTGAACATAAAGTTACATGAAGATTTAATATACTTATGTTCCTGTGTATTAGCTACAAACTCTTAAAATAATTTTCAGAAGTACCATGGAAAACATATTTCAAGAATCAGGATTGCATTGAGTAGTGAAATACTTACTGTGCTCATAGTGTTTCTTGATCTAAAACCACCGATCAAGAGGTACACACAACAAAAAAGTAATGGCAAGGAAGCTAAAACTATAAATTCCTTGGATTCCTTTAAGTAGGTCACTGACAAAAAGTCCAGACTTTTCAGGGTCAGAGAACGATGTCCTTCCAAACCTATCAAAGAGAAGAGAGATTACCTATCTGCAATGCTTGTTCTCTTCAATACTCCCACTCCAAGATTCCCATTCCTGAGTCGCCAGCTTCCGCCCAAAGCCAGAGGGGAGGGAAGTCCCCGAGTTCAGTATTTGAGCCTCAGACACCTGCAGCTGAGCCTGAAGCCTCAGTCATTCTTACCCATTAACTAAACACCAGAATAAGTGAATTTGACAGCAAACTAGAAGAATACTAAGGAATCCCAATGACAAAAGCAACTGATTGACTCTCAAGGCAATGTCCGTGGGCAGCAATCACTGGGAATTGTGTCATAAGCACCCATCTTCAGAGAACCAAAAACTCCAGATGAGCAGTTCTCTTCTCCAACCTACCTTCAGACTCCAGCAGCTGGGAGCCAAAGAGCTTGAGAAGGAATCTAAAGCAAGTGGAGCAGAGAAATTTCAGTTTCAAAATACCTGCTGATGTGCAGGAGAACATGCGCTCACCACAGCTGCTCTGGTGCCTGCAGGTGTGTGTGCCCAGCTACCTGCCAAGGGGGAGAGGTGAAAAGCATAAAGGCAGCTCTGAGCAACTGCCAGGGTACTGAAGGTCCCATCTCAGAGCTCGGCTGTGGTACAGTTACCACAGGCCCAACACACAACAAGGAACTGGGGGAGGGTGTGAGGGGAGACTGTGGAGGGGCTAGGAAAAAAACAATTATATTAAACAAGAATTGCTGAATTGTCTTCCTGAGCTGACTTTGATTTTCACTGCAAAGACCAGCACACATGCTGTTAGCCTACTCACAGATGAGGATACACTGAGACCATGCAGTGGAATAATGAGATGGAACAGCACCAGTGGTCAATCCTAACCTTGAATTAAAGGAAATCGGACTGATCTTTTTCATCTTGAACTTACTCTCTCTAGTTCATAAATCACTTTCTTAAGAGACCCGTTAACACTGAACTGTAATATTTACATTTATGTATAGCTTTAAGCAACACACCACTCAGCAATATTCTCACATTTTTTTATTTTAAAACTGGCACAAAAGCCACAATTAAAGTCAACATGTCTTCCCCCTCTTCCCCCCAGCTGAATCATTTACTACATGCCAGACTTAATGCTCAGTGAGTCCACAGGCAGATTCTGGTCACAGTAGATCTCATTTTCAGAACTGTTATGTGTAACACCCCCTCCTACTACTACGAACCTATTCAGTAAACAGTTCCTTTTAGGAATCTAAACTGACAAGTACAGTTTTTCTGTCTCACCTGGGACATTGAAGACTAAGGCTCAGAGAAAGTTGGGAACTGACTTTGTCTCTTGCTCCCCCAATGCAGGACTCACCTACGCATTCCTTTCCACAACATTCTGTGTCCAGGTAGTGTGAGCTCTCTCTGAACACTTCACACTGTTCTTAAGGTCTAGATTTCATTTCACTTGTTAAGAAAGAAAGCTTTTCTGTCAACCTTACCAACATTCTTGTGAAGAGCCTATTTGACTCACTTTACTGAGTTTCCAGGATAGAGGACAAGAACTTTTAAAACAAGACCATGCCTAATGATGCACTCATACAAAAAAAACCCAAACCCAAAAGAACAGCAGGACTGTTCTGTGAGCACATTTTCTTTGTGCTATAGGAGTTCCTAGTTCCACACAATTATTATTAATGGGTTTGGAGGTTTTAGGAGACAAAGGGAAGAGGGAGGTGAAGGAGGAGGACACAGCATAGGGGATGAGGGATGGGGGCAAGGGAGAGAATCATCCCTAAGCCTGGCACATGTGCTGTTTCAAACTAATTTCTGAATGACAAGCTACCATCTTCATCAGCCAGGTACAAATGAAATGAAAAATAACTTGGGCAAAGTAGTTTTCTGCACACAGCAAAAGGGACAAGAGACAGCAACACATGAGGTACATTAGGAAGTTAGGACATTGGATTCTTTTAAAAGTTTTATTTCATCAAGAAAGTCAAGGACGTTTTCCTCGATTCTCCTCAGATATGGAATTGGAAAAAATATTTGGGATCTTAAAAAGCTGGGAAATGTTAGTTGGTACACATACCTGAGGATTACAAAGAAATTAACTTTATATAAGCTTATTTTTAATTACAGGTTCTTAGAACTGTTTTAAAACAGAACCTTTTGGAGCAACCTGATACACTGACATAACTGCACTGATAAAAGAAAAAAGAAGCTCATTGTATTCACCAGACAGCACCAGTTTGCATATAAAACACCCAGAAGGTTTTCCAAGACCTGGTGCTGTTAGGATTTAACACTGAATACAACCCAGTGCAATGGTTTGTTGACAAAGCATCTTTAGAAAGGGTTAAAAACATGGGAGGAACACCTGGGATGACTCTAAACAAAAACGTTGCACAGATTCTCTTTGGCCACAAGTGGCTTAAATGCCAAAGAAGAGCTAAAACAGAAGAAAAAATGGAGCCAACCAACAAACAAACTTGTATTTTCAAGTTATGGTGAAAAGAAAACCAAAGTAATACACAATAGAAGACCTGTTGTGCTAACACCACCCTACTCACTTTAAATATCCGCTTACTTCTTTAACAAGATATCAAGGAACAGATTATTTACAGGATTACTATGAAATGTCTCAGAGGATCTAGTATCAGACCTCAATGGCAACAGCAGACAGAACAACTTTTTGACTTAAATGACAGAGAGCATGATTGCTATTTAGATGTGTGATGGTTTCAGTCTAGGCCTTCCTGGAGACCAGCTTGTAACCAGGAAGGAACTAGGAAAGTGACAAAGGAAGTATTCCATGCCATTCCTTTACGTAACCTGGGGTATAAATAGGGCATAGATAAGAGAGTTCGCTCTCTTCCTTTCCGGCGAGGTTCGAGAACGGTGGGTCCCTGTCTTGGTCTGGCTTATCTGGAGCTGAGGCCTACGGTGACTGCTGCTGTCTGCCACGTGTGAGGGGAGAGTGCTGGGCCGCGTCCAGCCATCCTGCTTCTCTCAAGGGAAGTGGTGAGATTTTGCCAGTTCTTTAGTTTGCTGGTTACTGGGTTTTTAGATTGTGTAGACCTGTTTTGTTTTTGTCCCTTTTTGTCCTATTTTGTCCTTTTTCCCTTCTCCCTTCCCCTCTTCCCTTTGGGAAGCTATTTGGGGTTTCTGGGGTTATAGGTATATAATATTCTCCCTGTATGTATCTGTTTCATAGGTAAAATATATATTTTTGCTATAGCTTTGGCTGCTTGGTTTTTTTCTTCCCTCTCTGGGAAGCAGACCCTGTTGTCAAGTTTCGGAGACTTGGCAGGAAGCCAGCTCGAAACTTGCACAAGATGGTTTAATTTTCAGAATCTTCCACCACCAACAGTAGGCTTTCTTTGTAATTAATGCAGAGAGTACATATGAGGCACAAACGTTCTACCTGCAATGGCTCAAATCTTAACTTCTTCAGAAGCTGCTTTGAAGAAGAAAGTTGAGAATTATACCCATAGGGAAGCTCATCACTGTAAAACCACCTCAAAATAAAGCACCATAGCCAGGCACATCAGTATCAACACAACCCATCTCAGGAGAGTCATGTTTACAAAGAAAATCAGACTACTGGAATTTATTAAGACCGCGGAAGTAGTCCGCAACATTTCTGTTTTGCAAGAACAAACCTCTTCTGGGGAACTACAGATTTCCACATGTTCTTGGCTTACTTGGGAAACTTCATTGAACATTAACTACCTGAACTGTAAGAATGCATACTGAAAATAAAGTTTGCCTCCTTAAATACACCACAGACCGAGTCTAGCAATGCACAGGAAATACACCACAGGTCAAGTCTAGTAATGCACAGGAACAGAGGTAAACACATAGCACATTAAGAGATACGCTCATCAGTAGGAATTCCTTACAATTTTCAAAACATCAGGACCACTCAATTTAATAACACAATCTGTTACACAGGACTGGAGAGGACAAGTTAAATGATAAGGCCCATACACTCCTCTTCCAGCAGCCACTACGGAACCACCCAGCACCAAGACTCCCAGGAGTGGCTGATACAAAGAGTAATGCATCAACCTCCTTCCTCTCAACCCCTACACATCCAATGACCTCATTAACTCACAGTTTCAGCTGGACTGGTTGTTTTTTTTTGTATGTGAAAACTTAGTAGATCAACTTAGGAAGCCAATAAATACTTTTAACTTCTACATACTTTTTATTGCACCACTGCAGGATGATAACAGTACTAGAGAAAGCCACTCCCCTTTCCCTTACAGGCAGAGCTCTGCACATGCAGTTATTGTTCCTATCATTTAGCTCTCCCAAGGGCTTAAGCAGTGTTGACCTCACAACAAACAGCATTTTAAAGACTATATCCACCAACCTTTCTCTGTACAGGTAGATACTTGAGAAAAATAAAGGTCAAGCCATTTAAAATAAGAATGTTTACACCAGGAGTGGTAACTACCCCTATTCCTCATTTAAGTCTTCTGTTACATTTTTTCCTCCACAAGAAAATTAACACTTTCACTGAGTTCAAGTTGACCTAATTAAACATGTTTGAATTACCATTCAAAAATAATTGATTCTCTAGACAACATAAACTGAAAACTTTTTTGCACCACTCTGAAAATAAAGTCTTGGTCTCCCACGTCCTTAGCATGAATTGAGGCAAATTGTCTTAAGCAAGAAACATTTTCCCTATGTCTGACTAACACAAACAAGACTTTAGTTCATAATCATCCTAAACACAACAAATACACTGAAGTACCTACTTGAAGGAAGCAATTATGTCAATCCAAACGTTGGAAATGTGCAAGGCACAGCTGACAAAACCAGTGTACACTAAATATGTCAAAAGGTGTTATCACACGCCTTTAAGACTTTGCTTCTCATTTCTACCCAAAATGTCTCTTTGTAACACTAACAACAGAAAACACAGTATCAAAGATGCAGCTGCATAACAAGATTTCCGTGGCCAGAAGATGCACATGCCAATCACAAAGTGCTAGTCTTAATTTTTATGTTTTTTATCACAGAGAATACTAATCTGATATTTTACTCTTACAAAGCTTCCTATTCCTGTACTTCCAGCACCTTTAAAGATGCTCCCCTTTTCTCAGATGCCCTACAGCAACTTCAGTTGGAAACAGAAGTTGAATCTATTATGTGTTATCCAAATTAGGTCAAACACTCCCACACTACAAAAGCTTGGTGAGAGGCACTATAAACAGAGTAACATGAGAGATAACCAGCCAACCAGAGATACACCAGCCTGCCTGCTCCAAGCAGGCAGCTACATCTACAGACAAGTATGGTATGTTCACGAGCAGCCTAAGAAAAACAAAACAGCAAAACACCCACAGAACAGAAGACACCAAACCTTTCCATCGGTCAGATGTCCTGTTTCAGAAACAGCAACGAAAGATGGACAATGGCCAGAAGAAAAGCTCCTCATTGCTCTTACTTGCACAAGTTTCTCTGAGAGGCCATAGCTTACTTTCAACCGTCCCAAAAATCAGATACAAAGAAAGGAAAACAAAAACAGTTGAGTCTTTCCACATCCTGTAATCGAAGTGCAGAGGGGGGGCGCTGAGGCAGAAGAGAAACATTCCCCTCCCCTCCTCCTGTCATACCATATGGGGGGGGGAGAGCGGCAACTTCAGGGAGCTACATCCACTGAGCCCCTGCGGTTCCTCCGCGGGAGAGGAGACCCACTTTCCCGGGCACACGGGGCAGAGCCGGCAGGAGCCCCGCCGTGCCCGCACCTCGGCCCTGACGGGCAGGGTAGGGCAGGACAGGAGCGGTGGGGCCGCCCCGCGCCCCCCGGGCAGCGCCGCTCACGGCCCCGGAGCCCCCCGAGCCCGGGGGGGGAGCGGACCTGCCACGCGGCTCCCGGACAGGGCCGCGCCCGGGGCAGGGGTTCGGGCACCGTTCCCAGGCCGGAGCGGCGCCGGCCCAGCCCCGCGCACCGGCAGGAGCGGCCGCATCGCCCCCGCTCCCCCCGCCGCGGCCGGGAACGCCTGCTTCCCCTTCCTCTTCCCCTTCCTCTTTCCCTTTCCCCTCTCCCTTTTCCCTCCCCCTTTCCGCTCCCGTTCCCCCCCTCACCTGCCACCCGGGCTCTCTGACGGGCGGGACGGGCCCGGTGCCGCCACCCTCCCCCGGCCGAGCCCCCGGCCCGCCGCGCTCACCTCAGCGCCGGCCGGCAGCGCGCACGGCAGCGCCCGCCCCCTCCCGCCCGCTATTGGCGGAACTGCGGCCCCGCACCCTGCCGAGTGGTCGGCGCGCACGTCAATCAGGAAGGGTTGACCGGCGGCCCCGCCTCTCCTCCGGCCGCGGGGTGTGCTGGGAGCTGTAGTTCCGCGCGGGCGTGCGGCCTGTGCGGGGCTGTCGGGGCCCGCTGTCCCTTGTCGCTGTCCCTCGAAAGCTCTCCTCAGTCCCCGTGTTAGTTCGGCCCTGACCGCGCTTTTGCTGTGTTCTGTGGTGCTGTTGTACCTGGAGGTAGGGTGTGTGTGATCTCTGGGGTGCCCCTCATCCCTCTCCCCTCCCCCCCCCCCCCCCGCCAGTCTTCTTTAAACGTTTCACAGAGTCACAGAATCAATGAGGCTGGAAAAGACCTCTGAGATCATCGAGTCCAACCTGTGACCGAGCACCACCTTGTCAATGAGACCATGGCACTGAGTGCCTCATCCAGTCTGTCCTTGAACACCTCCAGGCACAGTGCCTCCACCACCTCCCTGGGCAGCCCATTCCAATGTCTAATCACCCCTTCTGTGAAGAAATTATTTTTCTCAGAGTGTTTCCAACACACTGAGCAAAATTTATCAGAGCCATCAACATGGGAGAGCGTTACCTGTTGCCCATGGCATAATTACTCCAGATCCAGTGTGTAACTCATTATAAACAATGGCAGAGGTGTTTCAACTCACCTCACCTCACCATCAAAAAGGGGTTTTCCCAGCTGATTTACCTTAATGCAAGGACCATCTGTCCCTCCCTGGTTTCTTACTGCCCTGTGCCCAGCAATTGGGCTGTTTGTAGCTTTCCCTGGTGACTTCTCTTCTTCCCTGGGTGAAAAGTGCTGGAGGTCTGTACGGGGTATTTTTTTTGCTTGCCATTCCAACGTAACTGTCTGTGTGTCTTTGGTTTCATTTAAACAAGAAAACGTCTGTCTCTCTGAGACAAAACATCATGTTCTCTAAGGCAGGTTGCATTACCTGGCCCGGCAGTCATGTTGCTGGGGCTGATGTGGAAGAGGGAGCCAAATGCCACCCAGCAGTGACCATGCTACATGAGCGGTGAGCACCCTGTGCCTGGTGCTTATCACAGGGCAAAACCCCCTGGTCTTCCTCAGGTCATCTGGGCTTTGTTACACCTCCTGACACCATAGTGGCATGTGAAGGCTTTTGTGGTCTGACCATTTACACTGGAATGAGAGATTTCTGGAACGTGCAGCTTTTGGCACTAGAAATGTTTCTTAATGAGTCTGTCACTATGATCAGACAGGTGAAACCTCTGTTGTTTGTTGGGGGTTTTTTTTGATAGATGATTTCAGAGTCAGCCTTGTTTACTTAGGCTCATCTTCTTGGCTGCAAATAGTGTAACAAATGTGTAAATGAATGAATCATGAATTATTCATCCACCTGTGTTTCCATGAAGCAAGGGTAGAGGCATTTCTTGCTCAATTATCTGTGAGTGGAAGAACCAGGTGCTGGCTGGTCCCTGCCACAGACACCAGGCAGCAGTCTGAGTATAGCTGTGTGGCTTCAAAGCTCACCTGGCTCCAAGGGCATTAGAGCTGCTTTTGTAATGCAATGCTAACAAGTCCCACCAGGCCTTTGATGGCTCTGCACTGGGTCACCTCAGGTTTTGGTGTACCCCACGCTGCTAGAACAGGAACACTAGAGAAGGTGCTCTAGAAGGCAGGGCCAGAGTGGTTCTGAATAGGATCTGCTGTGTCCAGCATCAAGTTATATGCTTTTGTTAGGAGGAAGGTGGTATTTTTTATGTTATTCTGTGTATTCCGTTGCAAGACCTGCCTTCACTGAAAAAATCAATAGCCTATATTGATATAAAAATGATGAATATATAGATATAAAAATAGGAATGTATTGTTATTTTCTTCAAAATACATTCTTTTATATTCCTCAAAACATTGAATCTGAAGATGACTTTATGCATCAGATCCTAAAGTAGCAATAGGGTTATTTGTGACTTCTGAAGGTAAAAATTCCACAGCTGGATTATTGAGATTCCTTTATTCCTCAGTCCTTTCATTTGAGAGCAGGGAAAATATGGAGAAGGAAATAGTTATGAATCAGCTTGATTGCAATTCAGTAAAAATTTTGAAAACTTGGTCCAAAATCACAGGGGAAGAAGCCTGCAGTATGATGGGGTTTTGAAATTTCCACATGACTTCCCTATCTGCTTAATGATGCTTTTTTCTTGCATTTCTAAATTCTGTTGAAAAAGTTTAAGAAGAACTATTCAGCTATGCAACATCCTAGACTGTGACTGTCAGCTGTTAATTGTTGGCTTCTGGAAAATCAAGGTGTTAGAGTCACCACTTAGCTTTGTTGCTCTGGAATACAGTGCAAAAGAATGCTGAACAACCACAAGGGAAGACAAACTCCCTGCCACCAAAGGTTTGTCATTTAAAGATATTACAATCCCTTACTTGGCATGGTGTCATAGTTCCCTTTTCTCTGTAGTTCTGTTTCTATGATTCTTTCTTTTCACTCAGCTGTGTTCCTTAACTCTTTTTATGGAGCACGAGCCCTACTTGCATTGCTTCTGTGGACTACTATAGCATTTACTTCGAGTGAAAAATACAACATATTTTATCAACTTGAGGGTTGTGGAAATGATCTTCACAGCTAGATGGCAACAAAAGAATTCCATTAGACTTCCTGCAATAAAAAGTGAGAAATGCAATGTTGTGAGAGCATTAGAAACAGCTGCCTGGCTCTAATGTCAGTGACAGTCTCCGTCAATTTAAATATTTGCAATAGCCATAATTAAACACTTAGTAACTGGCATTGAGTTAAAATGGAAATACATTACATAGCCTTACTGCTGTGTAGATTTTAATTCCGATTTATATCCTCCTTGGCTTTGTGCCTGGATAAGTCTTGTGATTTAAAGGCTGTTTTACACTGTATAGCAATTATCATGAGGGCAAATTATCTTCTAAGTGAGTAACAGAATTTTGACTTTTTCTGGAAGCAGCTCCCTAAAGAGATCAAACAATGTTATGTTCTCCTTCCACTGTTTAAATACTGAAGAGGTTTACATCTGCAAATAGAGAGATGGTCTTCCTGGGTCACTGAATCTAGACACTGGCTCCTGGAGGCTATCACATCACCTAAACCTTCTAAACAGATTTTCCCTCATCCTCTAAAACCAGTGTTGAAACTGGTGATCCTCTTACACACAGTTACTGTCATGTAAGAAGACGTGTTAGAACCTTGGGCTGACCATGCCTTCTGAAAAGATGCATTTGTAAACAAATGTTCCTTAGGTTTTGCCCTCATATTTATCCTTTTGGAAGATGAGTGTAGCAAACCATGGCATACTATACAATAACAGAAATACAGGTCTCAACATTCTTACCCAGATATTTGCCATTCTGCTGTAGGATCTCTGATGATAAGGTTTCAGTTTCTTAAAGCTTTTGATTATAGCAGAAAAAAATCATTATATCATAATTATTCATTATAAAATAATATAAAAAAATACAATTATAAAGAAACACACCCATTTTTATTCTATTGTGCCTGTAAGACCCACATTTTTCTAATGACACTGTAAAGGTGAAATAAAGAATAAAACTCAACCTTGTAGTACACAGGTACATTGGGAGATTTCCAGCAGGCCTGAATTGGTTCCAAGTGTATTTTACTGTATATCAGAGCGCAGTATGTAGGTTGTGGTTCCAATTCTTGCAGCCACACAGGCAGCCCTTTTCTGAGCTGCTTCTCTGGCCATGAAGCCATGTTGAAGGAGTTTGAACTGTCTTTCGTGAATCTCTTCCAGTTCTCTCCAACGGTTCTCTTGCGAAGAATCCTGCAGGAAAGACACACAGATGATCAGACTGCAGATGATACAGTGGTCTCCTCTTCAGAGGATACACTGAATTTCTATTTGATCCTGCTGGCCGACAACCCGGTTTGTTTTCTAACATGATTGGGAAACTTGTCAACATCAAAGCAGGTGTGTGATGAACAGAAAGGTAACCTGAGCGGCTTTGCGCAGTTTAAGATGACTTAAACACAGCTGCAACACTCCACAAAACCATGGGAATGATGAACTGTAATATACCTCGGATGAGAGAGGGGGTAATCCCAGTTTGGGATGAGGTGTGTGTTATGGGAAGCTGGGAAAGACAAGAGTTAGAGACAGGGTAAGATGCTGTCTTGATGGGATAATAAGAGTGGGAAGGCAGGTGTAGTATGGATGAGCCCTGCTCCGTGGTGGCAGAATGTGTGACAAGAAGGTGAGGTCAAGGCCGCGGCTGGAGAAACTGTGCCTGTGCAGGAAGCAGGGTGTTGCTATTGCCAGTCATGCATGGCACCATCTGCCTCTGCCCCCCTTGCCAGTGCTGGCAGTTGAGCAAAGGTCTGTGAACAGCAGGTCTATTGCAGAGCCTTTCTCCTTATGTAATAACCAGACCTTGCTTGGCATGATGCTGGTTTTCTGGGGGATAATCTTTAAGAGTCCTGCTTGCTTTTTACGCTCCGTTTTTTTTTCTACAATCTTCCTCTGCAGGTTTAAAATGCGTTCATCTTTCATGAGCCTTTCACCAGACTGGGACTTTCTTTTCTTTTCTTCTTGCCTGCAAAATCAAAAAGAAGCAATGAGAAGGCAAAATAATATCATCCCACAGAATAAATCCATCTGAGCATATATTACCTTGATAATAATGAATTTGCTCTTGCTTCTGGGAACCAGCTAGACTCAAAACAGATGTAAATCATATAACTTGCATGTGATATTTGCAACTTGCCTCTCGTTGTTTACACCATAGCATTACTAAACCATATACAATAATAATTTCTTCCCACAGGATGCCATGATGACAATATCTGAAGTACTTCAAGCTTGACATGATATTCTTCAGAAAAAAACGTGCAGAACCTGAGATAATACCACAGCACTTTGCTTGTGAAAGCTATGGAGTTTTCCTTATATGATCATTAGTATTCATCCTGATCGCTGTATTTCTTGGCAAATGAAAGATATTCTTTTGTGTGTAATCCCAATGCCCAGACACAGAATCTCTGGGATAGTGATGTATTAATTAAGGTTAGTTGCACTAGGTGAGCATAAATTGATAGCAGCATGTGCAGCATAAAAGTAAGGCATAAGAGAGAGGGTTTTGGACAGTCTTCCTTTTTTCCTCACCTACTGTAGCCACTTTTCTGTCCTCTGGAATTTACATTTGATCTAGTTTTGCTTACTTTCACACAACTGGCACAATTTACTCACAACTTCTTCATGCAGGTTGCACCATATTATGTAGTGACTCACTTAACATCCAGCTTTCTCATTTATTCAACATTGCACTTGAATTTGGTTTAGTATGATCAAATTGTAGAGTTAATATTATATCATGATCAGCTGTGATTCTCTGGCCAAATTCAGAGCTAAAGGAAGTGTCAGATCTTCCAAAGAATGCACATAATTATATAACATATAATCAGGTTAGATCTGATGCAGCTGGCAGGGATAGTTTATAAAAGGTCTTTTTATATAGTGCAGTGGTGCGACATTACAATTGCTTTTATTGGAAACCAGATAAAGACTCTGAATGACCCAGAGCAGAGTGCACCGGGGCATTGTCCAGCTGATTCTGTAACTGTCATTCTGCCAGTGGCAGGACTATTTTCAAAGACAAGATGCCTCTTGGAAATAAATGTTTTACAACTGAACTCTACCCTTATATCTTGGGTCTTACATCAAGTGTTTTCAGTATAAGACACACTCTCTTCAAGAAACTGGCAGATGGGGAAGAAGGAAGTTCCTTCTGATGCTAAATCCACCAATTTGCCTTAAAAAAGTGTCTGTATCAAGACTCCAGGGATCCAAACACTTCTTTCATCTTGGGAGAGATGGCTTTTGCCTGCCTTGTTAGCTTCATCTTTGCTAACAGGAAACTCTCCATGACAGCAGATTTTCTTCAGAGCAGCCATTCTGGACTAGAGGGCCCAAAATCCTCAGGGAGTGGATGAAGGGGAGATATGAGCTCTGTTACATTCTAAAATGTGACTGGACTCTAAATCAGGGACACAGTCTAGCTTGGCTTCTCATTTCCAGTTGCTTTCCTGAGACACTTCCCAAACCTCTCTGCTTCTTGTGTCATACTGTCTGGTTAGGATAACATTTCCTTATCCTCCTTAATACTGTATATACTCTGCTACACTGAGATTAATTTTTAACACTATTCTGTAAATATGAAAATTAGGTACTATCACTTAATCTAATTGAGAACATGGTTTATTTCTACTTGCACTGTATCAAGGCATTGCATTCCAAAGGATATAGGAGAACGTAACAGTAAGGTTTTATGTAAATACTTGATTAAATCTTGTCAGTGGGAATAAACAACAAAACCTTTCCTTACGTGCAAACCCAGAGTCTTGTAAATACAATTAAAGGAAATACAGCAAGAGGTTTAACATCATGAAGCAGCAGCAGCTGCTTCTGTATTAACATTGTAAATAGTTCCTTATCCCCAGAGTAATATTCAGTCCTCTTCTACAGGAAGTCATGTGCCAGTCATCTACACTATTCCAAAAAGCTGCCAATCCCATAGATTTTCAGATGCCACACCATATCATAATGGAAACTCCAAGAGGGGAAGGAATGAAAAATGAAATTTTAGAATTCTGTTTTTCTGTGATGGTCAGTTGAGAACTTTCATAACTCAAGATGGAAAAACCTCTTATGATCTCTGTCACCTCATATCACGTACTTCCGAAGGAAATAAGGTAACAGCCAGTCAGAAAGGGCCAGTACATAGTTAGAAAAATCCTATCCAGATCCAATATAAAATTATGTGATAATTTATGAAAAATCTTCTGTGTTTAAAAAATGGAGAATTTGAAGATTTGCACAGATGATTCCTCCTAGAAACTACATTTTGCTCTTCATTTACATTTTCAAACTCCACCTTCGCATCAAAAGCATAAAGAGATAGATGTATGACAGCTCTTAACTGACTCAATACTTGTAGAGATAGAGTAAAAATGATGACTTTACCATTCTAAGGACCAGAATATCAACCTAAGCAGCTGGGTCTGTATTTATAACCTCACCTTGCAAAATGGAGTCTTGTGCAGTAAACACATTTTGTTAAAAAAAAAAAACAAACCAGGATTGCCTTATAGTGCAATAAACATTTTTTTTTTGTTTCCTCATACTCTCAGTCTCCCTGTACTTCCCTCCTTGCCTTTTTCTGTCCTGCACCATATAATTCTTAGTTACTGCAGTAAGTAAAGTCAATGTATCTAACTGTTAACAGTTCACTGTTAAGGCAGTCATTATTTTGAAATTTAAGAACTCTACACTATTAGACTGATTACTATTTTGTATTAATGTGAGGGATTTAAGCACTCAAAATCTGACTCCTTTCCAAAACAATCAACTTATTGAGCACCTAATTTTAGGTGGGGAAGTGATTTTTATTCATAACAGTGTTTTCCTTATTTGAAATAAAGATTATGAGGGTGTATAATCAAAGTTCATTCACTGAGTCACAGAATGGCTGAGGTTGGAAGGCACCTCTGGGGGTCATCTTGTCCAACCTGCTCAAGCAGAGCCACCTCGAGCTGGTTGCACAGGAATGTGTCCAGATGGCTTTTGAACATCTCCAAGGATGGAGACTCCACAACCTCTCTGTACAACCTGTGCCAGGGCTTGGTCACCCTCACAGTAAAAAGTGTTTCCTGATGTTCCTCTTGTCCTTTCAGTGGTCACCACTGAGAAGAGCCTGGCTTTGCTTTTTTAAAAGTCTCTCTTCACATCTTATATTTCTGATCCATCACTGATGATAAATCTCCTCCTTCTATTTGAATGCTAGTGAAGAACTCATTACCAGCGTAGGAAATGAGAAACTAAATCTTACTTCCTTATTGGAAACATACACAGGACTCTTTTATGAAGTATTTCTTAAATTCGTGAAATCAATGAAATCACGAGTATTGTGAAGTACCAAACTGAAGTCCCTTATATTGTTAATTATTCAGCTTTTTTTTCATTATTCTAGGCTATATTTTTGAAGATCTGAAGGAACAACCACATACAGCCATAGCATAGCACTATTTTTTTCCCCCTACATGTGCTGTTTGCCCCTTCCCTCAGTTCTGTGCTGTATCTCAGGGTTGTGTTGCCAGAGTGTCTTATGAGTTTTGAAGGATGGGCCTCCATTCTCCAGTCCTCATCCAGAAGGCTTTTGAACCCCTGAGTCAGACCTGGACGCTCCAGGGAACACCTGCTTTAGGAAGTTTGTTCTACTTGGATAGGACCATCACAGCCGTTCATCCATAACCCTCCCTTCTGCTTGTCCTCTTTCTCTTTCTCAGTAAATTAGCATGTTTTCAAACACACATAAATCTGCTGGTGCTCAAGTTTGAAATCTGAGAACTCAAATGTTCATCCACTTCATATGCCAGTGCTGATTTTCAAACTGTGTGAAATTCTAGTAATTAAAGGGATGTCCTGCATATACACTACATTCATTGTTAAGTGTTCTGCAAGCACTCACAAAGCCACTGCTGTGATGGGTGTCATGGCTTGCAGTCTGTTGAAGGCCAAAGTCTCAGTAATTTTTCATGTTCCATTTCCTGTTTTGTTAATATAACTCACTATAGGCCTGCTCAACCTGCTTCTTTTGTGTTGATGTATGTCTGTTTGTTGGGGACCCCTGGTGGCCTAGTGGTTAGCATGCAGAACTCTCACCTCTGTGACCCAGGTTCGAATCCAGCCAGTCCCCCGGGCAGATGGAGCCCGTTAGCCCTGTGAGGCCATCCATCTATGAGAAGGTCACTCTAAACAAACCTACGTCCTGAGGACCTCACTGCCATTGTCCAAGCTTGCTTGGCCCCGGCAGATGAACCTTAGGATTAAAGGGTGGGCTCAGTTCAGCGCAGGCTGTGTCTCACCTAAAAAATCCATTGCGCAGGCTGGAAAGGTAAAAGACCTTTCCCCAAATCTTCGTTCGCGAAGACTGGCCATTATATATTATATTATATGTCTGTTTGTAAATGACATTGAAAGGAACCTGCTTGATAGGGACCTGATTAAACTCCAGCGGACATTAAAGCACTTTTTTTAGCAAAGTTTAGCTGCCATACTTTAGCTGATTAGCAGTAGCCTTCAACATAATGCAATTTAAGACATAAACACCTAGTTTCATATTGATGCATAGGGCTAACTTATGAGGACCATTGGTAAGGTTTGCTATTCTATCCCTATAATGAATTAACTCTGTAAACATAAAAATTTGCTTTTTACATCTCCTGTGCAGCGTATCAAGAAAACAACCCAAGCAATTAATCTCTCACACTGATTTGATAGGTATTTAGGAATTCAAGACCTGCAAATAATATACTAAGTCTATAGTTTCTATAGAGAGAAATAAAAACTGCATCAAAGTGTCTAACATTTGTAAATGCTATGGCCAGCATGCCATATTTCTGTATTAACAAAAATAACACCAGAGATTTGGATTCTAGATGAAAATGCATGAAATACACTCCTAAAGAACAACATTTTTTATATACTTTTTATAGGAGAGTCTTCCAAGTTTCATACATAGATTGCCTGGGAGCCATGAAAGGAAAATGTCTTACAACATCTATAACGAAATGTTATATTTTCTTTATTTGGAGAGCAAACAGGGCACATTAAAATTACTGTATTATTTATCATAAGTCTGACCAGAAGCTTGCAAATTTAGTGTTTAACTTCATTTGGATTCTACTATCTTTGGCATGCTGCTCTGTTCTAAAAAACATTTCAAATGATAGGACAAAAAAGTGAATCAAACTAAGCTTCTCATTCAAGCATAGCTTATTTCAGGATCAGAACAACTTTAGGTCTGAATTAAGCCAAAGAGTTTAAAGTTTAAAGGAATCCAGTCCTATACAAATTCACAGACTGCACATCTAGCAGGACAGATGATTCTTTAAGCAGTTACTAGTGAAACAGGTTTCACATAGTACACAAATTCTTAATGTCCAGTTTGTCTCTCTACTGGAAAGCAGTGGCTTGAGTTGCTCCCACAGGGTTTCACAATATTGAATGCTTAGCAATGAGGGTGTTATTTCCAGCTCCAACTCCATTTCAAGTTCTTAAGTCTTAAAATCTTGTCTTGATATATGCCATAGAAAAGAGGGTCACTGATCTGTGCAGTCAATCCACTGCAGCTGCAGTTATTGATTCATTAAATTCATTAAACTCTCTTCTTAAGTACTAACATATTAAAACCCAAGTCTTTGGAGATTAACTATCAGCAAAAAAACAAATTAGAGCTGAGACTAGTGTAAACTAGTTGAAGGAATACATCAGTACTGCCTTCTGTAATTGAGATTTAGAACTGGATGATTAATCAATAACATGAACTGAACTCTAAGAAGCCACCTTTGGCCATAAACATGAATCTAAGACAGGTCTAAAGACGTATGTTTGTAGCCTGATGGAATACGTCTTCAGAATGTCAGCCTGAAATCAGTTTGCAAAATAAATATAGCAAGACAAGGACTAACCTCTCAAAGCCACAAAAGGGAAAAGGGGAAAGACAACTTGCAAGAAAACTTGCAAATATTCCAGATGCAGTAAAAATGGTGTAAGATGTGTGCCACATTTGATTCTTTTACACAGGCTCAGCTTTATTTGCAAATAGCTGTAACTTAGATTTTAAACCCTTTGTGGAAAGGACCTGTCTTCTGCATATGTGAGGCATCTATGTTAGTTATGGATCCTTGATGACAATGAATAATAAATATAATAATTAATAATAAATATGAATAATGAATGCAGAATTTTATCAGAGAGCCTGTAAGCAAAGAATTTCCTCTTTGATCTACTGCCATATTTAATTTATAACTTATTATTGCTATCAGAAAATATTCTTCCTAAAGTATTTTTAATTTCTAGAATAAGGCCTGCCTTTGCACATTACAGATGATATTCAAGGAAGAAAGCTACAGCCCTAATATTGGTTTAGATGAAAACAAGAAACCACTTTAAGTGGCAAGCTGGAATGATTCTAATACATCAAATTAGTTCTGATTAGCTGAAAAGGAACAGAAGAAAGGCAAAACTTCTTTCTAAATATATATTATTGGCTCTGAATCCTGGGGCAATACTGTCAACACTAGCCTATGGAGTGTCTTCAACCATAAATGATGAAAAGGTTTGTTAAATCTGATGCAAATTATTTTCAAGAATAAAAAGGAAATCCTGTCCCCAGTGTAATCCTCAACAAAAGTCATACTGATTTACAAAAGGGCAGTATTTTGCTCTCTACTTGTTCTTCTCCTCAAGGGGCTGGCAAAATATTAACAAAGTTGCAATGTCTTAAATGTCACATGCTGTTTTATACTGACTTTAAAGCAGCTGCTCGTCCAAGTTCTGCTCTGAATTGGGAAATCTGATCCAGTTTTTCTAGAATAAGTTGTTCCTTAGCTTGTTTTTCATGAATTATCTGGTCTCTCTTCTCTTCCTCTGCTGCCTTCTGTGCTTCTTTGAGTAGAGCGAGGCGTTCACGTAGTTCCACTATTGACATTTCACAAAATAAACCATGGCCACCAGTCTAGAGAACATGAAATATACGTTTAAATAACACTGTAAATACCAAGGGGGGGAGTAAATGAGTAAAAACAGAACATTTTGATTGTGTTCCAATGCATGCTGAATATATTCTGACTTGCAGAAATATAGGGATGGCCCTAAAGTTACTGGTATTTAAAAGCTGGTTTTAAAATGTAGAGCTTATCTCTCGTATGAGAGATAAAGAAAAAGCATTGAAATATACAGAAGATTAATCATAAATACAATATATTTGCTCTCCAAAAAAATTCTACTTGACTTTTAGTTTTAATTACACTTTCAAATTTTAAAAATGTGCAAAACCACTTTTCTTTTTTAATGTGTAAAACCAGAAAAGACTTTAAACTAAAAAATAGGTACCACCACAGGTAAATGAAATGGTAAATGGTCATTTATCATTTATCATTGGTGGCGAATGGAAATAAATCCAGTTGGTGGCTGGTCACGAGTGGTGTTCCTTGGGGCTCAGTATTGGGGCTGGTCCTATTTAACATCTTTATTGATGATCTGGACAAGGTGATCAAGTGCATCCTCAGTCAGTTTGCAGATAGAATCATAGTATCATAGAATTAGCTGGGTTGGAATGGGACCTCTGAGATCATCAAGTCCAACCCTTGATCCACTACTGCCATGGTTACTAGACCATGGCACTAAGTGCCACATCCAGTCTTATCTTAAAAACCTCCAGGGATGGAGAATCCACCACTTCCCTGGGCAGCCCATTCCAATGCCTGATTACCCTCTCTGTAAAGAATTTCTTCCTAATATCTAACCTAAACCTCCCCTGGCACAGCTTAAGACCATGCCCTCTTGTCCGTGCTGGTTGCCTGGGAGAAGAGACCAACCCCTACCTGGCTAAAACCTCCTTTCAGGGAGTTGTAGAGAGTGATGAGTTCTCCCCTGAGCCTCCTCTTCTCCAGGCTGAACAACCCCAGCTCCCTCAGCCTCTCCTCATAGGACTTGTGTTCGAGTCCCTTCACCAGCCTTGTTGCTCTTCGCTGGACCTGCTCCAGCACCTCAATATCCTTCCTGACACCAAGTGGGGTGGGAGTGTTGATCTGCTGGGAGGCAGGAAGGCTCTGCAGAGGAATCTGGACTGGCTGGATCAATGGGCTGAGGCCAGTGGTCTGAGGTTCAACAAGGCAAAGCCCTGGGTCCTGTACTTCGGTCACAACAACCCCCTGCAATGCTGCAGGCTGGGGGCAGAGTGGCTGGAAAGCTGCCTGGAGGAAAAGGACCTGGGGGTGCTGGTCAACAGTGGGTGAACATGAGCCAGCATGTGCCCAGGTGGCCAAGAAGGCCAATGGCATCCTGGCCTGTATCAGGAATAGTGTGGCCAGCAGGACCAGGGCAGTGATTGTTCCCCTGTGCTGGGCACTGGTGAGGCCACACCTTGAGTGCTGTGTCCAGTTCTGGGCCTCTCATTTCAAAGAGGACATTGAGGTGCTGGAGTGAGTCCAGAGAAGGGCAGCAGTGCTGGGGAAGGGTCTGGAGCACAAGTCTGATGAAGAGCAACTGAGAGAGCTGGCGGGGCTCAGCCTGGAGAAAAGGAGGCTCAGGGAGGACCTTACTGTCATCTACAACTCCCTGACAGGAGGTTATAGTGAGGTGGGGGTTGGCCTCTTCTGCCATGTCCCAAGTGAAAGGATGAGAAGAAATGGCTTTGTGTCAGGGGAGGTTCAGATTAGATATTAGAAAAACTTTTTTCACTGAAGGAGTGGTTAGGCATAGGAATAAGTTGCCTAAGGAGGTGGTGGAGTCACTGCCTCTGAAGCTGTTCAAGAGACCTCTGGATGTGGCACTTGGGGATATGGTTTAGGGCTGATAATGGTGGTGCTGGAGTGGTGGTTTTACTGGATTATCTTGAAGGTCTCTTCCAACCTTCATGATTCTGTGATCTCCTTCTCAGATTTCAGTTCAGAGTGAATTTGCAAATAGCAAGTGCCCTAATACTTTGCCTCCATGACCATCAAGTTGTATCCAAAGGAAGTGAAAGGGAAACACTTTGCGACAGGGCTTATATGTAAATGGTAATGTTTGAGCATGGCAAGCAGAAACCAAAAATGTCAAGGAAAGAGATTTTCCTACAGGTATAGAATGGTAGAAGCTGAATATTTTGAATGTCTGCATTTCAAAAATACTCAGTGAAGTTGGTGAAATGGTTCCTAAATTAGGAAAAGTTCTATACTCCTGCAGTAGATACTGCTGGTGTTCAAGCAACTTAAGTGCCATCAAGGGAAGAACTGGTACTTTAAAAATTATGAGAAGGAGTGAGAATTTTATGAACAAATACTTAATTTCACTATGCCAAAAAAAAAGCCTTTAGTAGAAAGAAAGAAAAACAGGGCAAGCTATCACCAAAAGTGTGCTAATTCACTAGAGTGCTATTGTAATAGTTGGTATAAGGGAACTGTGAAGTTGTGATATAGAATCATAGAATGATTTGCTTTGGAACTTCTATGAGCAACCTGTGCCAGTGGTTCATCACACTCTTCTTAAAAAATTTGTTCCTTATGCCCAATGTAAGGCTTACAGTTTCAAACAATTTCCTCCTGTTCTGTCACTACAGGCCTTGGTAAAACATTTTTCTTTTAAGCGCTTTTATACACTGCAAGGCTGCAGTGTGGTCTCCCCAGAGCCTTCTCTCCTTCAGGCTGAACAATCCCAACTCTCCAGCCATTCTTCACAGCAGAGGTACTCCAACTCTCTGATCATTTTTGTGTCCCTCCTCTGGACCCACTCTAACAGGTCCACATTGTTCTTGTACTGAGGACTGCAGTGTACTTGTACTGAGGAGCAGAATCCCCTCCCTCGACTTGCTGCTCTCACTGCTTTGGATGCAGCCCAGGATATGATTGGCTTTCTGGGCTGCAAGTGCACATTGACAGCTCATACTGAATTTTTCATCTACCAATGCCCCCAAGACCTTCTCCACAGGGCTACTCTCAAGCAATTCATCCCCCAGCCCGTTTGATACAGGCAAATGGGGGTTGCCCTGACCCACGTGCAGCACCTTGTTGCACTTGGCCTTGTTGGCCTGCATGAGGTTCACACAGGCCTGCTCCTCCAGCCTTTCAATATCTCTTTCTTCAACTGTATCAACTGCACCACCCAACTTGGTGTCATCTGAAAACTTGCTGAGGGTGAACTTAATCCCACTATTTATGTCATTAGGGAAGACACTAAACAGCATTGATCCCAGTATGGACCCTTGAGGGACACCACTCCTTCCTGTTTTTCAATAAACCATTGACTGTAACTCTGGATGTTGCAAACCAGCCAATTCCTTATCCATCTAACATATCCATATCATTCAAGTCCATTCCTTTGTACTTTCGATATGACCTACTGTATGGCCACTCTCTTTTCAGCAACCTTACATTTTGGTAACTTTACTTGATTTTTGAATGAATTTTTCATATATGACTTGAAACCTGCTGTGTTTTTCTGCTTTGTCTTTTGAGATGAACTAGATGGGAAAATGTCTTTAAAGCCATATTCTGCACTTGGAAACAAACAGTATTTCAGTGGAAGCTCTACTTGAGGAGTCAACAGCCACCATAAGATGCAATGACATGAACTAGGTTCAAAAATAAGAAAGTACTGACATTCCAGTCACTGTCATTTTCCTGAATGAGACCCTGCACCATTTTACAGTTGTGATAGAAAAAGTAATGACATTTCCACATCTGACTATATCAAACCATTATGTCTTTGCAGCCAACACTTTGTGACTGAGTCATCAGGGTAACAAATGTGCAGTGAGACCATACTAAAGGATCTGTTTAGGGTTGACAGAGTGTACAAATCTACCTTTTGGCATTTACCATATCTGTGGTGTAGGATAATTCTTTGTGCTCCTCACTTTTTTTACCTGCTTTTTCCATTGTGGTTCAGTATTATTTCTTCACAAATGGGTGGAAGAAGTCTGCATTTGAAAAAAGAGAATTGCCTTTTTTGGCTGGAAAAGAAGTGGAGAAGCCATAGAGGCAACCAAGGAGAGTAACGGAGGATGGGACATCTGGGGAGCTGATTTTGTTCTTGTTCACTTCTTTCACATTTGACATTAAATGCATTCTAAAATCTGATAAATGAGATGGGGGATTTATTTGGTAGTTGCAAAGACAGGTAGCTTTAGAATCAATTAGTGGCTCAGTTCTATTCAGAGGAGCAGGAGATAAAACCAAAGCATCACCCTGATTGTTCCAACAGCCCCATGGAAGGAAAACCTGTTCCTTCTGTATGATTTCTGCAGACTAGCTATGGATGTTTTTTGTGTTCTTCATTTGAGTACTCATGAAAGAAAGGAAAAAACCACCAAAACAAAAGGATTCTGTGATTTAAAATTGCTAGTGTCTTTTAACATTATTCTATGTTATTCTTCTTTCAGTGTAGATAAGAAAAATGGAAAAGTATTTTCAGCTAATCTGGTTCTGATTTAGTGTTAAGTTAACAGATTTCTGGATGCTGCCTAAGTCTGGGCATTACAAGGCCCAATCTCGGGCATATCAGTTGTTGTGCATCAACAGAAGTTTGGGATACAGTTCCTGTAGACTTAAACACACACAAGTCATTTGCACAGTACATATGTAACAGCTCAGAAGGTTTTGGGTTCTCTTGACCATCTCTTTCATACACCTGAATGGTGACAGTTTTAAAAGCAAAGGAAATGTATTTTGCTAATTACCATGGCTATCACCTCTGCAATATGAACAGCTATACCTCAGTCCAACGTTTGTGTTCATTCAGTTCTTACCCAGGACTGACAAATTTTTGAATTCGTTTATATGGGTAGAACATCTTGTAATCACTTGCTAGTTTCTTTTCGCAAGATATCGGGAAACCCAGGTTCTATTGGCAAAATTCAAAGAAGGTTCAAGGGAACTAAGTTTTCACTTACCATCAGAATATTGCTCTTGATAAAATTTTTTGGTTTATAATTTCGGGAAAGTTCAATTTCAAATCTAACCTTTGCGTTATGGGGTCACTTTGTACTTAATGCACCCAGACTGTGATATATCTGCATGCAGTACATGATTCCTCAATATATGAAACATATACAGGACACATTTATGTAAAAACAGTAATTCTGCTTTTTGGGCTTACCTCTGTTAAGTCAACAAACTTGTGTCTGATGCCAGGTATAGACTCAAGAGCTCGTATTTCTTGAATTAGTTCATATCTTTTCTTAGCCTTCTCCTCCTCTTCTTTTAAAGCTTGCCGAAGAAGTTCTCCACTTTCTTCAGAAACTTGCTGAGCTGAAAGATAAGAATTAATCTCTGTTAGCTGGTTTCCTATTTTAACAAGTAGTCCATCTGGAGGAAAATTCATATGCATTTGTGAATAATGATAGTAATACTGATTTGAAGGTACTTGAGGGAACAGTCTGGCATTGGTGGGAGGAATCATTAGAAAAACAAATGAGTACTTCCCACCTCCACTATCTATCCTTCTATTCAGCTCATAAATGTACTGTATACATACACAGGCACTTTGAATTACTGCTTTGTAATTTCTGTTCTCATCTGTGCATACTATTTCATTATTTAATAAAAGGATATTATACAATAGAAGATATTCATAGTTTTTCAAGCTATGTATATCCTAGAAATCACTGAATTGCAAAGGCCAGTGGGCTCTGCTAGTCCATTTTGGAGTGGCTAACACTCTGTCTGCCTCAACCCTTACGGATATAAGTATGGAGATACACAAGCAGAGAAAAGTCTCCTCACCAAGATATGCCCAACTAGAGGCAGTCTGTTCATACAGTAGATGTTAAACATGGCATTACATTGAAATATGTACAACCATGTCAGTGAAACAGCCTGGGCTTTATTAGCAAATGCATTAACTGAAGAATTTTCTTTAAGGATAATGGAGGATGAGTAACATTATTTCCCTTCATCATAACAACTGGTCTATCTTGGAGGTGTTACATCCTTCTCCCTTGTGATACTGTCCTTCTAGAAGATGGCTTTTCTTTAAATAGCCATCTTCTTCTCTGGATGGCCTTCTCTGGAGAAGACAATAATCTTGAGCCATGATTCTTTCACACCAGTTGCCAGGCAAAAATGATATGAATCACAAGAATCTGAGCTTCATGACTTGACAAAAAGTAGAGTCATTCACGTGTTACTTTTAGATGGAAGGAAAACTTGTTGCAGAACATTAGTGCTTTATTTCTCTCATTTAAGCAAAGATTAATTCCCATGACCAGTAGTTTAGAATTTCTGATCTATCCAGCTTATTCCTGGAATTCATATTCATACATTCATGGGAATGTACAGCCTGGATCTTTCCCTCAATTTCACTTTCCCCTCTGTAAAAATTGTAATTGGTCCACTAAAAGAAAGATGAAGTAATTTGGGGACATTTAGCATCATCTCTCATTTTTCTGGCAATATATAAATACCTATCTGCTGTTTGTATTCCTGGAGCTTTGTTTTTACTTGCTTTACATTCTTGTGTCCTTCCATGACCTGCTCCGCCAGCTCTTTCATTTCTTTCTGTTCCTGTAGACGTTTCTCTGCATGCTGGTGCATCAGCTCCGCTTTCTAAATTGCAAACAAAGAGGTGAACACAACTCCTGATGGCTGGTGACCCGAGTGCCTCAAATCATTGAAACAGGGCAAAGACAATTGGATTCAAACTATTACATCATCCACAAAAGTAGCAAAGGACATTGGCTGGGGACAAGAAAGAGACACAGATTTAAGTTCCCTTCTTTGTTTTATTTACTCACAACTGCCCTCCATGACATTTCTGCTGCTATTTTCCATAATTCCCTCCAACATGTTTCTAAAAGCAGACAAAAAGAGCCATTTCTGGGTCTGGTTGTGAGATAGGAAGAGGTGTGGTAATCTAATATATAGCTGTTTATGTGCCTACAGGATCTTCTTGGGCCTAAGCCATAGCTCTGTAACATAGCCCACTTGTGGCTACCATGTTCCTTTCTTTATTAGAGGAAAGGAATAAGAAGCAGGAAAATGGATTTTCCCAGACTAGATTCCTTGCCGTTCTTTCTGTTTGAGATGTAATACCAGAGTTTTAAAGGGAGGAGGAAGGTCAGCACGACAGCTGTTGGTGCTCAGTGTGTCTGGAGATCTGCATGTGGATGAAATACCCTGCTGGCATCTGTTGACAGGCAAAGCTACCTGGAATTGGTCAGCTTAGAGCAAGTCTTATTTGCACATCCTCAAATCTATTCACATTGGGGCATTTCTGTTAACAAATAAAACACATATGCTCTGAAATTGCATTGAATATAACAATTGCAATAATTTTGGAATGAGTGTGAGTGATCACACTATGATCAGTTGTACATAGTAGGGTTCACTGTAAATCCTTGCTACAGTCTATCTAAACAAACATGAAGACTCAATGCCAAAAAAAGATTGAAAGATTTTACAGGACAAAAAAGGAGTTCATTAAGCAAGTTTCCCTTTTGCAGCAGGGTCTTTATCAAAATTTTGTACATTTGCTGTCCCATCTTACGTTGCTGGGACACTGAAGAGAGACACCTGTGAGAGATGGTCAAGAGAAAATTACTGGCCTACAGGGCATAGCAACATACTGGACTAATAGAAAAGAAAAGCCTGTGACAGTGGCTATGAAAAGTTTAAAATCTATAGTATATGTTGATTATTGATCACCTGTTTAGTTTATAGAAAATGTAAAGCAAGTTTGGGAAAATAATGAAAAGATCTAGCAATGTTTCTGGGAAACTGATTTGCCAGATCAAAAACTGTGTGAAACTGTTTCTTGGCAAAAATACTCAGTTTTCCATACAGATGGATCCAAAGAGGGTTCTCTGCCTGAGTTTTCCCCTAAGAGAGACCTAGGCATGTCAGATAATATGAAGTCAATTGAGTTTTAACAGTTTAAGAAAACAAATTCTTTCATATTTGTGGCTCTCATTTTAACAAGATAAAGAAATTACTCCTATATTTTATTGATTTCATTGCAAATGGTGCTTTGTATCTCAGTATCTGTTCAAAAGGGATTTCCATAATGATGGGAATATAGGGGACCATGCTTTAACCTTCTACTTTTATTCAATTTACTTCTTAACTGTTATCAATCAAATCAATCACCTGTAAAAAGTACTTAAATGTACAAGCACTGCTGTATCTGCAAGTTATAGCACTATTTTTCCTTTGTTTGCAGACTTCAGTGAGTAAAGATGCTGCACAGAATTTTTATACCTTCTTATAGTAGGTATTATCTGTGGTATGTTTTACATTGATTGAAAGTAAGCAAAATTTGAGCATCTCTGGATGCATTACCTCTTCCCTCAACAGATCAGCTTTTTTCTTGTTTTCTTGAATTACATTCTGACGGGCTAGAACTGCCTCTTCATGACTCAGTTTCCCTTGAAGCCTCCTACACTCTATTTCAGCCAGCTGTTCTTCCAAATCTTTTCCACGCATCTGTTTTTGCCATTCCAAGAATTCAGATGGGTCTCCAAACCCTTGTTCCAAATTTTCAATTCTACAAGAGAGAAAAGAAGAGCATACTATTCTAGGGATCTGGCTCTGCAGCCCTTCCTTGGTTCATAAAACATTTCCAGTAGATTTTTGTGATAGGAAGGGTTTGATCTCTGCTGAGAAAAAAGTCAGTCATTGCAAAGTCACTTGGCAGATATATTTTAATTCCAGTCTAAGAGGTGTTTCTACTATGAGGAAAGCCTGAGAAAGCCAGACTGGAAGAAAGTGCGTGAGGGCACAGACCTGAAAGTTTTCAGTAAAACAGAGCCCCAAGAGAGGGCAAACTTTAGCTACGTATGGATTCTCATAAGGAACAGAGAGAATCAGGCTGAAGGTATGAACATTTTCTCAGAGGATTGCTTTCCTTACAGGTAGAAATAACAAATAACTTTTCTCTTTGGCAATCTTCTTGGCAACTTTAACACAGAGAACTAAAAACTTCTGCTTAATTCTGTTTCTGTTTTGCATTCTGTCAATTAAATAATATTGCTGTAATGAGGCAAAGAAGTATTCAGCTATTAAGCAAAGTCACAGTCTTATTTTTTGTGCTCAGCTGAGAGAGAAAAGCCTAGCAAAGCCCTGGGGCAGGCCCATCAAAGTCCTGCAGCAGAGGAGGGAATGATCCAATAACTACGGCAGAGACACAAACATGCAGTGAATTGCGTCTTACTGCTGCTCCCCAATGCATATATATGTGTGTATATATATACATATCTATATATATCTATTGTGTGTTAAATGCAGCTGAAGATTAAACTTATTAATGTAAAATAGTTACAGGGAAAATCTATTCCTTTGCTGAGTAGAACAAATTCTGCCATCTAGAGTGAACAGTATCATACGTAATACAGAAGAGCCTCAATATACATACATAGCTGATAACAGAACCTGAGTGATGTATAATGTCTTACTGCTAGAATCCTGATGTATCTACTGAAACCTGAAAGGTTGAAAGACCAAGTCCAACCTTACACAGTCATTCCAGGACTTAAAATGCTAACCACCTGCTAAGTCAGGTGGTTTAGAAGTAATACTAAATCAAGATGACATGATAGAGGTTTAATCTTTCTTAAAATTTTTAGTGAAAATGTTCTGTAATTCTAGTTACAGAATACAATCTGTAGTTGTCGCGACGCGGGAAGAAAGTGACGCTCAATATGAGAATCAGCAAGCTTCAATTTATTATTTAAATAAGTTAACTTTTATACAATTTAGTTTGTTTTGGGCACATGCTTACAATAAGGCGATTGGATAGCTCAGTCTGTACACGCGTCTCATGTCTCCAGTTCATTGGACCTGATGTTTTGTCCACGCGGTCTGACATAATACTTGGCATGTAGAGGCCTTCATAATTAGGGGCTTTCTGAAATTTGCAGGTGTACCTTTATCTCTAGTTTCTCAAGGCTTTCTTACTATAAACATACTATGTTCTCAAACCTTATAACTAGACACACAGCTAACAAGTATAAACATTGCATATTTTCACACAGTCTATAAGCATAAACATTACAGCTTACAGCTTCTAGTCATGTCAAGCAAGGCCTACAGAAATGCAATAGAAATTGTTCACAGAATTTGAATCCTGCCACATGTAGTGGCCATCCAGGAGTCACCCTCTCCCTAGTTAATATCCTGCGAAAACCTATCCTGCTGAATAATGATTCCTTATGTCAGAGGAATCCTTATGTCAGGATTCCTTAGAGCCCTAAGTGCACCAAAAGGATCTGCAACCTCTTATTCCCACCCCACCACCACCGCCCAGGATTTAGTGCTTGTGTTCAAAGACAGCTCTGTTGCAGTGTGACCGTGTAACACAGGACTGGGCTGAGTGAAAAGAACTGTGTGAGGGAGAGATATGAAAAGTCCTGGTGTGTGTGGAGAGTTTCATCCCGGGAGACACATTTAAGCCAGTGTTAAAAGCCTTGCCTAAGCTATCCTGCAGGTGTGCCTGCACCCAGCCTAGGACCTTGTTGACTTGGCTTCCTGGCTGGACCTCGGTCCTGACTCATCACTTTGGACTCATCCTGCAATCCCTGGGCCCTTGGCTGACCCTGCTGGCTGTCACTGGACCTGCTCCACTGCCTTGCCAGGGTAACACGGAACTGAGCTGCTGTCAGTGAGGACACTGTCCCTACAATGTCTTGCTGTCACCCTCAGCTCCTGGCTTATCTTGCCTCAAGGAGCAGCACATCTTTGCCCGCCATATCTTACTGTGATATAAATGGACTGGTATTTTTATATACATATGAACAAGTTCAAGTATCCAACTTGGCATGTAGTTGACCACAACCATTGAAGAAAATGGAGATACATGAAATTATTTGGCTTATTACAGATGCACCTTTAGGAAGGACACAGAAATAGATGTGTATTTGGGTCATTATTTATTCTAGAGAATCAGAATAAATATAAAAGTGATCCCTGTTGGACTTTGCAAGTGGACTCTAACCAGAGTGCTGAATCAGAACACAGTCACACTGTACAGCATCTACAGAAAAACAATTACTTTAATGTACATTTTTTTTCAACCCAATTCTCTCTATTTGTCAACCATCTTTATAGAGTAGCTTCCAAATGCTTACAACAGATCCATTAGTTTAGTTTACCTGTAATTTACTTAATTATTTTGAATGTGGTTAATTATCCCACATCCAGAGATGTGAAAAGTCATTCTAGAAAGAGAGTGGTCATACCTCTTGAGCTCGTCTTCCATTTTCCTCTGATAGAGGGCACCCTCCCTCAAAATAGCTGCAGTGTTTAATTTAATGGGTATATTGTCAATCTGTCAGGAAAGGGAATGCATATACTGTTGTTAGTAATGTAAACCATAAAACAGAGTATAAAAACATTTCAGTGGGTTAAATAAATTGACCCAAGACAGCATAAATTTTGCTTAAAGCATTCATCTAGCATTAATCTGACATTCACAATGAAATTGCATGCTGTTCATAAACCACTCAAGCTGCTTAAGAAATCAGCAAAGTCCCCCAAGTGGATTATAAATTTGTAATCACTCCTGGACCATGTCAAATCCCATAGAATGTCTTCACTTCCCGTCATATCTTCCAGTGCTCATATACACAGTGCGAAGGGATTCCATCTGTTTTGGACAAAGACAATAAACCACTTCTCTGAAAGACAGTCAGTTAGCCAAAACCATTCAAGTAAAACATAAGCAGAATCTTTCATAGGAAGGTCTCAGAGGCAATTTATAAATAATCACTATTATAACTTGTATTTCCAAGACAACTGGCATCACCCATTGTCATATCCATTTTCTAGATAGAAGAAGCGAAGTACAGGTCTCAGTGACTTTCAGGCCTCATGGTGTAAGTTGGACTAGACCCTGTGGCTGCTTTGTAGTTCTTCAAAGTATTGCCTTAGGACTGACTACCAGACAACCTCTAAATACTGAGGGAGGAAGGGAACAACTTCTCTGCCAGCTAAAATTGTTCCCTGCTCAAGTAGGCTATTTGGAAAAAATGGATCACCTTTGCAGACACATGTAAGAGACCTGATCTGAACCAGGGCAAAGCACTGCTGCTGGGATAAAAACTGGGATCATTCCTGCAGAAAACAAAGCTTAATCACAACACATTAGACTTAAATCCAGACAAGTTCTGTGTTCAGAATTAAAACACGTATTTAAATTCCAAATTAAGAACTTAATGAGTGGCTGAGAAACAGATGCACAGAATCACTCAAACTACATACTGCAAATATTGTATGCACAAATATGCACTGCGGTCTCCTAAAATACATGAGCTAACTGGAAAAAAGCATGTTTCATAATTTCTATTAATTAGGTAGGTTGAGGATAGAAAACACATTCCCATCAGAAATTCACTAAGTAGAATTAAGATGTTTTTACATAGATGGCATATTTTAATGCAAAAAGTTAAATAGTTGTCTGTTTCTTGACAAAATTGTGATAGCTTGAAGAATGTAGGAAAATGCTCAAAACTAATGTATTTTATTTCTTTTGTTTGACCCACTATACTTACTCTTCTTAATGCCTAATGACGTTCTACCTTTTGGTCTGCTTCTCAATACATCTCAGAGTTTCTGCATTATATGAACAGTCACTTGCCAGACTGTTATTTTAGGTACTCTACTGTGTAAAAAATGTAAACTTGGGCATTTTCTCAGACACACGTAGAAGTTTTCATATTTTTGACAATTGTCTATGTATACAGATTTCATGTTTGGTATTTATCAACTATAATTTGGATAGAGAACTGAACTAAGAATGATTATGGAAATACCTTTAGCTTCAGTTTTGCAGTTTATTGACCAGAAATATGACTGTATAACAATGAAACAGAAATATGGCAATACAGTAAAAAATATCTAGGACTCCCAAGATATATGCAGGCAGGCATGAGTAAAATAACTGAATAGATTGTTCTATGTCATATAGTATCAAAGAAGTTCTGAATTTTACTCATTCTCTTCCTGTCATGAGATATGTTTGGTTTTTTTTAAGACGAGAAAATGGAAATAATTGGGAAAATCGCAGAACACTCTAGTTCTTGTAAAAAAAAAATTGTTTTCAGTATTGCCACTTAATGAACACGCTACAGCTCACCAAAACCAATAAATATGTAAAGAGCAAGGCCCGATATGAGCAAGAGGCAGACTGAGACAGAGTGATGATGCATTTGTACTGTCTCCTTCTCCCACTGAAAAGGATGAATGGATAGTTTGGAAGAGCAAGAGAAATAATTGCTGCTGCTGCACATAGTAAATGTGCCTGAAATGGAAAAAAAATATATTTAATATAGTGTGGGTGTTCTAAAAAGAGGAAAGGAAAATACTAGTAGGTTAAAACATTATATAATCTCATTAATTTGAGGATAGGTTATAATCTTATTTATACATCTTGGATAAACTTTCCTCTTAGGGTTTGTCTACTCACAGAGTTGCACAGGTAGGAGGCAACAGGAATAGAAAGTATTTTAGAAGTCAATAACTATATGCCTATCTCTGCTTGAAAGTTAAGCAGCCATCTTGAATATCACCTAACCAATCTTTAAGGCAAATGTGTTTAGACAAGATAAAACTGATTATGCTTCTAGAGGAGACACTAGCAGGTTTTAGAAGTGGCCCTGATCAATGCCAGAGGATGCCAGATCCATATTTTTTCTTATGCAATTTGGGCAGATGGTTTGACTCTCAGTAGTCCACATTAAGGTTTTATATTATCAGAAAAGGGAGTGGAATATACAGAGTTTTGAACTGAGCCCACATAATTACAAGTCATGTGTGTTTGGGTTAACTATGTAAATGTTTCCTGTTTTGGGGGAGGGGTTGGCTCTGTTTTGTGCAGAAGGAACTGAGATCTTACTACTTTTCTGTACTTTAAATGCTGCTGGACTATAAGCAAGCAGACTGAGTAGCTGATACTGTTATTAAAGATAACTCTGGTATGTGATAAATGCCAGATAGGCTTTAGAAATAGTTGCCAGATGCCCAGTTCCCCAAATAGTCTTTTCAGGATATATATGAGCTGTCCCTAAACACACAAGCAGACCTGCTCACGAGATATTTGAGATCATGATACAAGCACAGTTTCCACCTTAAATTATTCTGCATATGAGCTTGAAACAAATGAAAGGTGACAGATTGAACAAATACAAGACTGAAGATCATCTGTAGTACAGTTATTGCAGAAACAGCAACGTGAGTTTTCATGTGTTACACCATTAATGCCGAACAGCCCATTTTCCACGTTTACAATTCCCTGACCCTTGGAAATCCTAGAAGAGAAGCAATCAGTATAGTGGATTTCATAACCTCAGTATGCATCTGAAGGAAACAAGACAAACATCCAGCCTGATTGTATATTGTGTATCAGACAGTCATTAGCTGGAATGATTGCTCAGCATTCTTTAGGATCTCATTTGAAACAGTGATTTACTGATGCAAGATTCTTCTGTCCTTATGCTAAGTTCTTAACCCAAGGGTTTACAAATCTTTTTTTCCTGGGGATGATTCTCAATTCTTACCATATTATGTAAAATCTTCTCCCTTTGTAACAGAAAACACTGTAAAGGCAATATGGTTACATGGTGCAACTGCACACAATTTACCTGTCAGAGCCCTCAGGGAACCAACAGGTTTTAATCACCCTGACCAGCCTCCCCTGGAACCTCCACTCACACCCTCTGCTCACTGGTCTGGGAGCCCCACTTAAGCTCAGATATGGGCTTCAGCCCTTTCCCATTGTGCTGGGATTTTTTCCACTCCTGGCTGACTCTCCGGTTCTGTCTCCTGCTGTCATGGATGCAGGTTGCTGTTGTAGCCTCGTCACCTGAATGGACTTCTAGGGCAGACTCCAGACCTGACCTGTTGCCTTGGTTTGCCCAAGGGTGACTTGCTGTCAGCGAACCTGTCACTGCCACCAACCTTCTCACGTTCAGATACTGTGTCCTGGTTGGTGAGGGCACTGCCTGTGCTTTCATTACCTTTGGCTCCTTATTTCTCTTCCCTCATGGAGTAGCCACGCTACTGTTGCTCCCTGATCATTTCTTTGTGGATTGTTCATGGTGCATAGGACAAAATCTATGAGCCATAGACCAATCCATCCCATGCTCCTGGCCACAGACCTTAGTGTGAAAACATGGATTCCAGGAGAGTTTGTGTCACTACAGGATTTGCAGTGTGTTTTTCACTCCAAAATTTTCAAGCACATCTGACATCAGTTCCTTAAAGGTTTCTCACCTTACTTTGGATCTTCTGAGCCCGGAATGATGGTTTACTCTTCATACTGTCATGTGTGCTCTGCAGTTCAAACCAAAATATATGGTTTTATTTCAGAAACAGATTTTCAATTATTCAGCAAAAAAATTTAGATATTTATCAAAAATAACACTTGAATATTCATCTAGAGTAACAAATACATAGGGGACATATTTTGGAATTGTTATATCCACAAAAACTTGCTATGTACACCCCATTTAGTGGGAAAATTTCAAATCAAATGACCACAGAAATGTAGGTCTAAATATTAACTAAAATTTATTGACTAAGATAATGGTAAAAAGTAAGTGATGCTTTGTTTGACTATGAAATATTACTTATATATATGTAAATAAATTCAGCTTTTAACTGAAATAGATACTGGGAGGACAAAATAGAGTGTCAAAGCACACTTCATGAAATTATTAATTAGTGGTAGAATTCTACTGATGGTTACTAATTTAATTTTATCATGTTAGCTATAGATACTGATGTGAAACTGTCTGGTATCATGGGGATGAACACAGTGAATAGAATATGCAGCAGTGATGCTGAAATGCATATATTACATACATAGCTTAGTGACATAACTGCGAACTGGGAATCAACCAAAGCAAGAATTCTGTATGAATGGGACTGTTATTCCCTCAGCTTGGCGGCTCTGTGGCATAAAAGTTAATGGAAAAATAATATGTGGATTTAGAGAAATATTGCCAGTTTGGAGACTTGTTGGAGGAGTTTCACAGAAAGGCTGATTGTCTCATAATTAGGAGAATAATAAAGCAGCACCAGAAGAAAAGGCGGTTGTGCATTATGCATCCAAAGAGGCAAGTGTTGGTATATGGATGTGAAATGACAGTACAGCTATAAATCATACCACATAATTCCTAAGACCAAGTAAATATAATTTTTCAAATACTCTGAGATATCTTTAAATACTTCAGTCATTTTTCATCTTCATATTGGGGGATTTTTAGGTAAGGAAGTATTTTGTAGCATACCTCTCTCTTTTCAGGCTTCATGGTTGCACACCTGAACTGGTCAGTATTTGCTTTCAGGAGCAGATCCTGCAATTACAACAATTAACTTAAAGAGTTAATTTAAATTCTCTAAGAATAATTTTGTCTCAAAAAGCCTTGCAGCCCTGACCACTATTTTCATTGAATATTCTGGGTTTGAAGGGACCCACAAGGATCATCGAGTCCAACTCATGAGTGGCCCCTACCGGGATCAAACCCAGAACCTTGGCATTAGCACTGTGCTCTAACCAACTAAGCTAATCTCAGAGTCTATTCATTGAATCATAGAATGGCTTGGGTCATCTAGTTCCAGCCCCCCTGCCATGGAGAGGGACACCTTTCCCTAGACCAAGTTGCTCAGAGCCACATCCAGCCTGGCCTTGAACACTTCCAGGGATGGGGCATCTACAATTTCTCTGAGCAACACATGCCAGTGCCTTACCACCTTCACAGTAAAGAATTTCTTCCTGACAACTAATGAAAACCTACTCTCTTTCAGTTTGAAGCCATTCCCCCTTGCCCTGTCACTACATGGCCTTGTCAAAGGTTTCTCTTCATCTTTCTTGTAGGCTCCCTTCAGGTACTGGAAGGCCACAGTTAGGTCACCCCAAAGTGTTCTCTTCTCCAGGGTGAACAATCCCAATTCTCTCAGCCTTTCCTCATAGGAGAGGTGCTCCATCCCTCTCATCATCTTGGTTGTCCTGCTCTGGACTTGCTCCAACAGGTTGATGTCCTTCCTGTGCTGAGCTGGATGCAGCACTGCAGGAGGGGTCTCACCAGAGCAGAGGGAAAGAATCTCCTTCTTCTCTCTGCTGGCCACAATCCTGCTGCTTTGAATACAGTCCAGGACACAGTTGGCTTTCTGAGCTGCAGGTGCACATGGCTGGCTCATGTCCAGCCTCTCATCCACCAGCTCCCCCAGGTTCCTCTCAGCAGGGCTGCTCTCAGTCTGTTCATCCCCCAGCCCCTGCTGATATGGGGGGTTTGCCCCGACCCAGGTGCAGCACCTTGCACTTGGTCTTGTTAAAACTCATGAGGTTCCCATGGGCCCAATTCTCGAGCTTGTCAGGTCTCTCTGGATGGCATTCCATCCCTCAGGAGTGTCAACAGCACCACTCAGCTTGGTGTCAGCATCAAATATGCTGAGGGTGCACTTGATCCCTTAATCTATGTCATTAATGAAAACATTAAATAACACTGGTCCCAAGACGGACCCTGAAAGCTTGACTTAGTATTTATATGAATTTTAATTTCTGATTAAGGACTTGAAGTAAGCAGCTCTTGATTTTCTACACAGTTCTGTGTGGTTGTATCCTCTGCACAGGGCATCAGGCCTTTGATAGGTCCATCCACATGAAACATGTTGCTCATCCAGATTTCAACTCAAAAGCATCATAATTATCCATGGCACATGAGTACCATTGGTAGTAACTATTTCCACATAGCTGACAAACAATGGCTTTGTTTTTGAGTTACATTAGAAGATTATGATCAGGGGATCACAGCACCAGGGATTGCTTCAATGGGCACACCTCTGGCACTAATTCCCCCTGTCATTTTAAAGAGGGAAGCGCAGGCAACCATGTTTCCAGTTTTTGTGTATTTCTTTTGGTTGTAAACCAAATTCCTAATCAGAGCTGTGAAACACAGACTAGATTTTCTAATGGTTTTCTGGGCAGCAGCTGATAACACCAGTGCTTCCATAACTGTCTGGAGTGTGGCTTCCAATGTTCTCACTCCTCACAGATGCTCAGACATGGTTCTTATAATGACAGCTACAGCTTCTGCCGAAATGCTGTGAAAAAAATGGCTTTTTTCATGCATATTTCTGTTAGGACCCATCATTTCAGCTTTCTTAGCAAACAGTCGAGGGAACTGACCTTTGTGAATGCTTTGGATGCCTTTTATAACATTTCCAGAGGCGGCAAAAGCTGCTGTTATTGCAGCTATAATTTCTGTGGTGGTTTTCCTTTGTTTCTTGTATTCGTGCATTTTCTCTACTGAAGAATGTGGCTGGTTGTAAAGTGATTTTATAGTTGCCATAGATTTTTGACAATTTAGGCACTGTGATATTTAGCTTTTCCTTCCTGGTTTTTCTAAGAAGTTTGTAATGTACAAATAAGTGCACAGACAAATAGAGATGTGCTTCCTCAACAATATGGAAATAACAAAAGAATAAAAAAATAATGTTTTATTGATTTATAATGACATATCAAGCATAGATAGTGTGATGGGCCAGCGAAAGGAATGCAAAGTTTATCCCCCTAGAATCTATCCCACATTAAACACTTACTATAGTTTCGAAACAGAATCCAATGCCCCTTTCACAAGGACATGAGGAGAGCCCAGAACAATGATGAATGGACTTGTACTGGCCAGTGAAAACTAGAGTCAGGCATTTTCAGAATGGAGGTGTGAGAGTGCAGTTAATAAGGAGTCACATGGCAATACCTTTTATCAAGCTTATACCATTATTTAATTGGATATGGTGACTGCAGTGTGGGGAGGGAGAAAGAAAGTGTAAATGGACATTAAATTAATTCCTTTCCAAGGAGAATATTATAACAATCTGCTTTAACTATGACAGCAGCTAAATCATTGACCAAGATTCATGTCAAAGTTTGGATAAAATAACTAGATCTGTTTGTTTTTCCAGGCCTCCCTTCTCCTGCTCTCTTAACACACAGACTGTGTACAAGCCACGATGACTTCCTGCTCTCTCAGCTGCTGAAGGAAAGAGTATGAAGTCTGCACGAAAAAAGAAGTCAGAGTCTGCTGATATTTTAAAACAGTGGATGATGACATGGTTATTTATCAGTTACTACTGAAAACAAAAATATTGAACATATTTTATAATTTGAACCCTTAATTAATAACCAAATACCTTAAATATCCACATTTCTTGTGGGAGTAAAAGAACCATCAAACTACTTCAAGCTTGAGAAGACAAGGAAGTAATCATGTTTCTGCTATCTTATATGCCCACTTACAAAATTTCTCATGTGGTACTTGTACAGTGACTAAAAGGTGGATCTTGCCTCAGACAATTAATAATAAAATAAAGAAGATGGGGAAAGGGTGTTAGAACAGATTAGAGGATACAAACTTCATGACTCTATAGAGAAAGAGCCACAAGGTGCAAAATTTAGGTGCAAAAGCAGATCTGTTTCAGATAAAGTTCTAAGATCTGTGAAGATGGAACAATATGGAAGAACAAGTTTAGAAGAAAGGAAGGAGTAGAACAAGAACATAATACACTTACGCTTGCTTTTTGGAAATTTTTTTCTTTGATTTCCTCTAGTTGCTTTATTTCCTTTGGAGGTTTGTAGGTGCTTGGAGGAACCTATATTAAAAGAGAAAAATCTCTAGAACATAGGATGTAAAACATTCCAAGTGACACATTCACTTTTACCACAGAACAGCAGCAATTATTTTTTAAATATTGATTCTTTTCTATTAGTGCCAGTGTAGAAGACAGGGACGGATTTCAATTAGCTGGAACTACCCAGGCTTTTCAGTCCTGTCTAATGTAATATAATCTCTGGTCAAATGAAAAAAAAAAGCTAAACTAGTACAAGAAAGGCTAAAACAATAGTAAGTCCTATAGGCCCTATCAAAGGGGAAAAAAATGTTGCCAGAATGGGACCAGTTCTGTTTGACATCTCAAACTTCAGTTTCACAGCACTGAGTCATATAGGGCAGCTGAATAAAGTTAAGTTGTGGAGCTCCGTGTGTGGTTGTAGCAACAAGTTACAGGGACTCCAACGAAGTTTTGGGAAGAGAAATCCTCTGAAGTTTAATAAATACCCAGGAACTTCATTGTAACTGAGGAAGTCCTTGAGCTGAAATGGTGGGAGACTGAGAAGGCAGGTGGAGAAAGCAGCACCTATGTTTGTCCCATCCCTCTGGTCTTCCCAGACATCTATGTTTAGCCACTGCTGGAAAACATACACTGGGCAAAATGGGCCCTTGCTCTGGTTTACCATGGCTGTCCCAATGTCCTTGTAAGGGAAAACCACTGGAGGTGTGGATTAAATGTTTGGAGGAAGAGGACTGAAAGGGCCCTCCTAGCATTAATCAAAGATTTAGGAAAGCATTCACAGATCAGAAAGTGCTACAGCTAAAATGATCAGGAAGTGACTGTATGGCTGTCATAGGGATCAACAGGAGACTAGGGACTTTGGGGAGATTTCAAGATTTGCTTGAGCAACAAATTTTGATCAGAGCAAACTCTGAAAAAAGATTGAATGTCTCCTTTTTATGTGGGTGAGATAGTCTGACAGTTTAGTGGGCATCTGCTTAAATGTTTATCTTGCTAAAAATGTTCTAGATCAATTAGAAGTTACAAAATTAATTAAAGAATTAATGGGGGAAATGTATAGTCTGTATTGTACTGGAGATCAGTTTAGGGAACATGTGAATCCCATCTAGCTTTATTAGACTATATAAAGAGCTGTGCTTTCAAAAAGTCTTGAATCTGATGGACTGTGGTTCTGTGACTTTCCACTGCCTTTACTATGTGACATCTTTATCTGCAGCTACAATAAATGCACAAACAGAAGAAGCTAGCAATGAAATGCACTGGTGAGACTGCTCAAGTATTTTTGTGAGCTTTTTAAGTGAAGCAGAAATGAAAGTATTTCCCAGCAGTATCTAAGAATTTTTATTATGCTTTCATAGATGGAGAAATTAAAGCCCAGAGGATGTGCAAATGGTTGCATACACAGTGAGTATCAGTTTATTTCACTCTCTGTCCTAGTCATGTGCTTTACCTGCAAAACTGCACTCGACTGCCAATGTAAGCTGAAAATCTCACCTCAGAAACAGCTATGCTTATTGCAAGTAATTTAAGGAGGGGACTTTTCAATCAGGTCTGTTTCAAAAACATTCTTAGCCTTGTAATTCAGCCCTCAGACACCATGGTATAAGTACCAGGCAGACAGACAGATAGACAATACAGCAATTACCCAGTTGCTGGGAGAAGATAAGAAGTCACTGTAAGTAAATTGTAAATTCCAGCAACAGAGAGATCAAAAAGGCCAAACTGTACCTACTTAATCCAAATGTGAAAAAAGGGGGCTGGGAGTAAGACACCAACCTTGCTTTCCCTGTCCAGCCAGTGCTCAGGCTCACACAGGCTGTGTGGATATCCCTTAACCAGAGGTTTATTTTGGGAGTAGGTACCACAAGAAGTTTAAGGAAGAACAAAATTATTAATTGCTCTAAAATTTCATCATTCTTCTATTTTTTAAAAGTTATTGTTGTAAGGTGGACAAGGACAAGCTAATGCAATGCTATTGTATTAAGGGTTTCTATTTTTATACATAAGAAGATCATAAATCTATTGTTTGATCTGTATATTTGCAAACAAAATCCTCTGTATTGCCTAAATTATTTCATCCATTTAGTTATTTTAAACAATCAGCAATTTCATTCATGAAACACAGCTGAAATAATAAGGAAAATATCTAAAAAATACGTGACATTTGGCTGAAAGGCGTTACAATAACATCCCAGTGCAGCCTTTTTGTTTTTTAAAATATATTATTGGTTTTCAGAAAATCTAAAAATAAAATCATTGCATAATCTTATTGTTCTGGTACAGTGCTGATACTAAAAGAGTGGATTTTATTCATCACTCTAGGCCAAGATATCCAAGGAAGTTAAATGTGTCCAAATAATTTTGCATGTTATCAGGTTTAAGCACCTGTCTCTATTTGTCTCCTTTGAAAACTTCAAGGGAAAGCACTCCTTTGTAGAATTGTATTTATGAATGTGTGAGTGTGTATGTGCATACTTGTGTCTGCATCCATGTGCTTGTGTGCAAAGGCCAGTGGAGACAAGAATTTATAATATTTAAACCAAATATTTAGAGTGAGTAGTTTCATTGTTAAATTTCAAAAATAAACTCTCACTTTACTGACTCTTGCCATCTGAGCTTGTCTTTTCAGTCTCTCTTCCTTTCAGGATGTAAAATGGTGATACTGATAACAATATGGCAAATTAAAGTGAAGCTTAATTTGCTGAGATAGATACAGAAATGAGTACAACATGTGTCACTACTACACTATTGGTTTTAGATTCACACAAGCTTTAAATTTGCAGACCTGGCCAGAATGTAAACCAAATTTAGTATAATCCTAACACCCCAAATGAACTTCACTAAATGCATCTGTGTTAAAGCAAATTTATTCTAAGAGGGGCTGCACAGCATAAAGGTTCCAAAATGATAGCAACATGACTCATTCCTATACTGATTAAGTAGTTATTAAATGCAGTTTTTCAGATCCTGGTATTAAGCTATTTCAATGTAAAATCCCATTAACTGTATAACACAGTACCATTAAATTGCTCTGCCATCCTAAGATGTAAATGGTTTCTAAGAGCATTCAACACATGTATTATTTAAAACCTGAAGTGCTAATACGAGGTGGCAGATAATGCCCAAATCTATGATTTCCAAGCTCACTTCCCACTGCATTTGAATACAGATGGTTTTGGAGTCCTTATAAAGTTACTCACAGCAGCTTGATCCCAGATCCTGTTTGCTTTACCCCAGTGAGATAACTTAAAACCAGTTGTGGGTCTCTGATTTGTACCAGTGTAACTGAACCACAATCTGAGACAATCAGTAAAATAACAACTTAGTATTTCAAAGATGCATCTAGTCTCATTTGAGGATGAGCAATGAATTTAAACTGGAAAAACTTTAATTTTACAGATTCAGCACTAATACAGTTAGAAAGGAATAAAATTCCACCCTCAAGGAGGAGCTGCAAACCTAGACTCCATCTCATTTCCGGTTAAATTGCTTTTCTGTTTATTTTAATGAAAGTTCATTTACAAAAAATGTAAGTTAATAAAACATTTTCATTTCAATGTTCTTTTCTTACCTGCTTCAGTGCATTATCCAAAGCAAGCATCTTACAAAGCCAAGGACTATCAGAAACACTTGTATCAATGCTGCCATCAATTTATACCCATTTTGTAATTCTACCTCTGAAAGTCACAAAATGACTACAAGAACCAACCTTTTCCCTTTCCTCTGTTTGGCTTACAACTCGCTTACACAACATTCACTGAAATGAAAAGAATTAGTTTATCTGTGGATTTTTTAGAAATCTGACCTTCAATAACATAGATTATTGCCGAAGTCCTTTTTGATCTGTCAAAGGTTGTAGATTTTCTATTCTTACTTAAAAGAGGTTATTAACTCCCCTATCAAGATTTGGTGCACAAGCATACATAAAATTTAGAGTTTTTCAAATCATAAATCAACTTACAGGTCGTCTTTTTTCCAGTACTGGCAGATGTGTTGGCAGAGGTAGAGGAATGGCACGTGGTTTGGGTACAGTCAAATTAAATTCCTTTGGCTGAGTGACTTTAGAAGTCTTGACAGTGGTAGCACAATTATTTAATTTATTTGTGAGTTGTTCAATCAGTTGCTGGACTTTTGGCTGCCATCTTCAAACAAAAACAGAATTTTCAATTTTATTTTCATTTTTTTAATTTCATACAAACTTACACACTATATGAGGTTGGCATGGGTGCAAATTCTGTAAGGCTTTCAGCCATTCAATTTTGATAAAACTGGTCTATGAATCTGTACTCAGGATTTAGTTTCACTGTGTTACTCCACCTCTTGATAGATGCTGGTCCATTCAGTTACTACTGGTGAAATAGCCACAGTTTTTACAGACTAAGCTACTATTCCTTGCTGCCAGTTCGTTTTCAACAGGACCAGACTATGAATCAGAAAAGCAGCTGTCATAAGCTAATTACACACTTAACATACTTAAATGAAGAGACTATTAACAAACAGTGGTCTGAATAATGTCACTTGTACCAACCAACAGAGCACACACAAATCAATCTCAAAGAACAGGCAGTTCTAGTAAAAAAGATAGAAAGATGTAAGGAGTTTGGTGAGTTAGCAAATGAACCCTCAGTGAACCCTGGGGGCAGCCAAGATTATTTTTTCTCTGTGTTTGCATTTGGACTTGTATGGAGGTTCAAAATTCTTCCAAGGAATGACAGGAAGGGGCATATTAAAGGTAAAACACAAACAGTGTACTGTCATTACAGGAGGAGGCTTGCAAGTAACTTGTGCAAGTGATGAAGCTCCACTAAGATAAATAGGACTCTTTATATTAACATAATTGACATTAGAAAGAGGAACACAAAGACATATTTAAAAGAATTTCCACTACTGAACTGACTAAACTCATCAATGCATCCTCAGCCCCCTGAAGGAAGTTTCAAACGCAGGAACCAAATCTGGTCTTTAACATTCTTGTATAACTTACATTTACCACTTCCAGGCAAAACACGATTCATTCCACTGAGTGTAACTGAGTGTGAAGGACAGCTCCAATAAGCTGAGTGCTAATGAAACAAGCAATGGCCTAAGCATCTGCCTGCATGCATGTGTACATATAAAAACGGTGTGAATATGGATGTGTAGCTCTACCTCTACCTCTCTATCTGTATCTTTACAGTATTGTAAGCATATGTTATAATTAGATTCACTACACTGGAGTATTTTGAGTCAAATTCTGACTTCAAATATATCCATCTCTGCGGTTCCTGTAGAACTCAGTAAAATTCAGAGTAGTGCAAGCCAAATCTATGCTATACGTTTGCTGGAGTGCTCATAAACTACACAGTATGAAAGGATTAATTCTAGTGACTCTGATATGACAGAACCAGATGCAAACTCTTTTTCAGCTGACATGGTTTGTAGCATGTTTTTGTCTAACAGTGTCTGCCATCATCTGGGTTAATCTATACTGTTCTGGATAAAAACAGTGAGAAAGTGACCCAGTAGGCTGCAGAGCTGGTGTTTGTCCATGGAACATGGAAATGCTCCAGTCTGGCAAGGGTACTGTTGCTACTCTATCACCACCTAACCAGTGTGTAGATGCACCTGGCACCTCAGAGCATTTAAGCAGTTAAATGATGCTGCAACTGTGTAAATAAATATTAATTTTAAAAGACTTGTTTACATGCTTATCTGATTTGCTCAGAAGGGATTTTACGACCATCGGCATAAACAAGTCTGTGCATAAAGCCAAACTCAGAGAAGTCAAAAATCATTTTTTCAAATGCCTAATGTCACAGATGTTGAAGTGACTTATGAAGCATGACTCTAACTCGGTAAGATAATTTGAACCTTCTATTTTTTTCTTTCAGATTATGATGTTTGATATATTCAGGGGCACCAGGGAGTACATGTGCAACAGCTGTGAAAGAACATTTCCATGACAGAACCTTGCCTCTGGGTAAGTAAAAAGGATTACTAAAGTCTCATGAAGACAAGAAGGGTTCTGAGAAACTTCAACAGGAGAAACACTTTAACAGAAAACTCAGATTTCAGGGTAAGCCTTCCCCAGCTTTTAAACTTTGAGCTGGCCAGAGACTACTAAGTTCTACTTACCTTAGCAGTGGATCAATCAAATTCTCTTTTACATACAGTGAATCGTAGAAGTGACTCCATTCATCTTTTATCCATGTGTTCAAATGCAATTTATTGAAGAAGAATCTAAGAAACTAATAATAAGTGGTTTATTTTAACTATAAATACTGAAGATATGGTGTACTTAAGACCACAAAAAGATAGCTGTTTCTATTACAAACACTGCTGAAGAGCTAGCTTGTATTTTACTTTGAAATTGTAATCATAGGTGCTCAGTATTTTTAGGTTCTTCTTAGTTGGTGGACACTCCCATGTCTTTCAGCCCTATTTTGTGAAACACTAATAGATACTAAAATATTTTAGTGGCAAAAAAATCATCTAGAGGCTACAACATACAGATGTGTCTGTTCATCTTTAATTTGCTTCAAACATTGTGAAAAAAGTTTTTATTCAAAATTAATTACTACTGGAATACTCTGATTTTAGTATAATTTTACAATAGAGTTTCAGAGTTTAATATACCCAGAGTCAAGTTCTGATTACTTATTACTAGATGATCCATGGAGCCCAGAAACATGTCAGGACTGGCACTGCACCTGAATTACTTAAATTCTTTTCATCTCCCTGGGAACTGGGCAGGGAGAATTGCTGAAAACTATAGTAAATGTTATACAATATATTTTCTTCTTTTATTGAAATATAATTATTTGTCACATTCTCATTAAACTAGAAGACTGAAATTTGGCACACTTATACATTGTATGGTTCTACATGCCGGAGGAATAGCAACTAACATTTGAACTTTTGTTTGCCACTGCAGTTCACCAGAAGGTCAAAAGCATTTCTTTAAATCTTGAACTATTCAATTGGCCTTTTAAAACACTCTTGAAAAATGGCACTCAGATTCAGCCTGTATCACTTACAGCAACATAAATTCCAAATTTGAACATTAGCTCTTTCATTAAAATTCCTGGAAATGAAAGTACAAGCATCATGCTGAAATAGTCACAGTAAGAGAAAAAAGCACACTAAATAATATTGATATCACGAGACATACTGGGAAGCAGTGTGCAGTCATTCTGAGGAGCTTCCAATAGAGACTTGCAGAGCTTAGTTTAGACTCGGCATCAGCCCCATCCTGAGTTGGTTTCTACAGAGCCATAAAGCCCTTTGTATTGAGTTTTTAGTTCTGCAAGACTACCAAGGAGCTTCTTAATTCAAATGCGGTTCCAGGCACAAGGTGCCTCAGAGCTTTGTGAATAATTCAGCTACAAACCACTCAGATTTGACTCAAGGTGTTTGCTGCAGATGTGCAAAAGGTGTAGAAAGCCTTCTACTTGAAATCTATAGTCTTGATATGACCATTTCCAAGGAATTAACTTGTAAATTTAGCCTTATTTTCATCTATTGTGCTTTTGGTAGTCAAAAGACTAATCAGTGCTGCAGGACTAGAATTGGATTCCCCCTTGGATTCCCATTCTTGCCTAGAAACTACTGCTTCTCCCCAAAACTGCAGATGCTGGCTTATCAGCACACCACCCAAAAAAAGATCTTTCATCCCTAAAAGCATGACTATAAACTAAAGTGCTGAATTGTCAAGAAGTTGGGTTTTTTGGTGCTGCCAGATTCTATGGAGTTTGGAAAGTATATGGTAAGGGATGCATTTCATCCCATCGGTCTTTGTCCAAGTCATTCATTGTCCTTATGGAGGATCTTCCTCCGTAGCTCTTGCATATTGGATTAAATTTGTCCCCTAACATAGTAATTTGTACTTATGCAATGCATAAATAAAATGTCAGAAGTCTAGACAGAGTTCATACCCTCCACCAGAACAGAGGCAATTTATAGATATTATTTCTACCAGTCATTGTAACAAAATTTTACATCCAGTTGTCCCAGCAGTTATGTGTGATTACAGACCCAGTGAACAGGTCCCCTGTCCCAGAACACTTCCCACCTTACGGAAGGCCCTGACTACACACAAAGTTTATAAGAACCATAGTTTTAAACCCATCTAAACAAGTGTATAACAGGAATGAATTGATCATGAGCTGATACACTTAAAATGAAGCAGACCCTGAGATTTGAAGCTGGTTTCAAATTTCTAGGTATTCAAAGAGCTCACAGAAGAAGCTGATGTAGAAATACTGCAGGTGGTGATTTGTAAATCCTCCAGTTTTCTTTCACTAGCTTCCACTAAGTTAGACTCCTGCTCTGTTTCCCCCTCAGTATTCCTCTTTATAATTAGCCCACCCTAAGAAGCTTCATTCAATTTTCTACTTCAGTGGCATGTGAGACTACATCTCTGAATTGTTGTTTCAGCTCTCCCTGACTCTCCGTCTCCTAAATATGTGCTGTAACTATCTTTTACAAAGTACAACTCAACTGCCACTTCAAGATGAAGAGATGAAACAATAAAAAAGGCTCACAGTGATTTCTATCTGTTGTATTTAACAGCTGGCTGTTACCTCTTTGAGGCCTCCTACTGCAACACCAGTCCTGTACTAGTTATTAACATTTCTCCCTGTACTAAGACAAATGCATAATCATGTGATTGACACATATCTGATGTACTCCTGAGGTACAGAGAATGGTTAGCTGTGTTATCAGATATCAATACTGTGATGTACATTTTTGTACTGTTTTAGTCACAGTCCCCAAAGCAATGCTACAATAAGTATATGCCACAATATGCATCATACTAGAGAATACTTGGAATGCAGCCCTGGAACGGTCATTGAGGCACTGCAGGGATTGCAAATGGCAATCCAGGATGACTGGACATCCCTTCTGACCAAAGTGTGTCTGAACCAAAAGTCCACAGTCTTAGTTTTGATAATCCCTATCACAGATGGCGAATGTTGGCAGAATAAGAGCCACAAAGCCACAGCACATTTCTTTTTTTTTTTTAACAGCAGAAACGTCTGTGTTTTGTGAACTGAATTGCTAGAACAAATTCCTTATATTTCTGTTTGGTCTTTGGCCACATGTGACACAGGTGGCAAACCAAGTATCAGTGGCCGTTGCTTTTATAGCAGCAAAATGGGGCATCCCAGATTTCTGTTTGGATTCTCTCAGCATCTGTCTCTTGAGAGAAGCCACTGGACAGTCATTTTGGTAACAGCATTATTCTGCTTGCTCTTCTATCTTGAATGTTCCAAAAGTTTCACTACTCACAGAGCATGGTAACCAAGTTTCATTTCCCTTTTAGAAGTGGTGGAATTACACCACAGGGAATTATGAAATGAACTGTACCCATTTTTACTACTTTAATGTACTCTGGCTGTAGTAAGACAAGTGTGTATAATTAAAGACTGGTTTTAATGCATTTTTCAGGTGGGCTGAATTAATACCTTGCTTTTGAGAATTTGAACATACCCTGCTAATATTCTTAATGCATTTTTACACAGTGGGATTGTACAGATTTCTGAAAAACAAATAAAAAGTGGGAAGTTTCCTCATTTGGTAATATCTTTACATCCATGTAAGCATTTGCAGAGCTGAAATGCTTATATTCACAATATAAGCTTTTGACTCTTGATTTAAGGAAATAACTGCAAGAAACAGCAGGTTCTGTTTCCCTATATAGATCAGCCACTACCAGAGAACACTGTTACTGACCCAACCAGGGCTGGTTTTACCTCCCATACACCATAAGGCTGATCTTGTCCTACTATTCCTACCCCATTATAATAGCTAATACAATGCCCAATTCTTATAGTGATATTCCTTTGAAGATCTCAGAAGTTCATTAGAACAGCTGTTAGAAGCAATCAGAACATGAAACAGAACAAAACAGGTTCTTAAATGCTAGAAGGAAAACACTATGTATTTTGCATATTTTACAAGGCAATTAAGAAGTTATAAAGCTATTTTCAGCTTCATATTGAATTTTTATTTCAATAGCATATTTTCTCTAATACACAAATCCTTAAATTTTAAAATAAATATAGAACAACAACATGTATGAGTAATAGAACACAAAAATAGGCTTGAGCTAGCAATGCATGGCTACTTTCTTAGAAGGATAATCACACTGAAGTTAGAAAATTGGATTTTATCCTAGGGTTCTGTAATTATACAACCATAAAGAATTTTTGCATGTATTTTTAATATTACAAAATAAGAGCTTGTGATTTTCTGTTCAAGCAGATGAACACGTGTAAGTGAGGTAGCATTACTATTCTGTCTGGATATTCTGCCTAAATGAACATATTTGAACTTGCATCAGACATAGGGAAACACTGTGACTTTGTGTTGAATGGATTCCATCACACAGTCTTGTAAGAGAAAGGTCTTAAATCTCACACAGTTGATCGCATTCACCTGAAGACTACTCCTGTGAGTAAGGTTCATCTGTGTGATTAAGAAAATTCCATTCAGCCTGTGATGTGCTGAATTTATTTTTTAATTACAGTAAATCTATCCTAGGTAAGTATGTGTGAAAATTTTTTTAGTATCCTAACTGAATGCAGACACAATAGTCATCAGGCAAAATCTACAGGTCAGCATCCTGAAGGAGAATCCCAGATTTCTGATAACTTTTGTTGCTAAGGCTGCAGATCTGCCTTCTGCTGTTTTTGTCTCTGTTGCTGGGGGGACCAAATGCTGCTTCTAAATCCTCTGCTGCAGGTGCATTAATATCATCTACCATCACTTTGGAGACAAAGAACCTCTTCTAATGCAAGAGAAGAAAAACTAGATACCATGGTGATGAAGATCTGATAAGATACTTAAGCAAAGTTACATCTAAAGGAAGAAAAAGCAGGTGCATACCATTGGAAAACGCAGCACTTTCCTATCAGAACAGTTATTCTAGACAAGGAAAGAGAAATTATCTAAGCTGGAACATCAGGACACTGATGCTTAAGCCATATAAAGCTAGGTGAATGGAATCAACAAGGGATAACTGGCAGAAGTGGGAAAATTGTGTTGCTAGCTGAACGAGCTCAAGATGCATCCAATCCAGTGGCTCGTGTCTAAGATGTTTACCAAAGAAGGGGCTGGGAGAGCATTTTAGACAGAGTGATTTGTCTGTCTACCAGATTATGATAATTCTTCGAGCCACTTCTCTGTTCTTTCTGATAGTTAATGAAATATATAATTTTTTGTCTCTGAATGGAATTAATAAAAACCATTCCACAGTAAGTCCGTCTAAAACCAGACAACCTAAACTGCTCTCTCCCTACATATTGCAAAGCAACTGTACTCGTTAAAGAGACACTGGCATCCACATGAACATTCAGAGTAATCACTACAAGGATAAACCTTAGCCTTTTGACTAATTACTAAAATTTGCCTGTCTCTTTAAATCCATATTTGTTATTCAAACAGCGTGTTCAGACTATGCTTTGAAACATCTGGATGATCAAAGGTTACAGATGCTGTGTCACCAGTAATTTAATTTTTAGCCCATTTTCCTGGGAAAACAGGGCTTATGAGAAAGCATTGCCACTCAGTTTATCCCTCTGCCCCTCTTTACAACATAGCTTTTAAGATAATTAGCACTTTCAACCATTTTGAAAGAGAAGCAAAAGATATTTATATTGCTACAGATTTCATGAAAATCAGCAAACAAATAGTGGAGTGAACCCCAAATTCGTGACTCCAGAGAAGGAAAGGCAGGCAGAACTTTGTTGTCCCACTTTCTGTTTGGCAGCAGTTGTTTTGACAATTACATGTTGTACTGGGGCAATTGGTACATTAATAGCTCCAAGTAAGCCATTGTTTTTTGGAAAGGAGAAAAAGTGATGGAAGCACAATAGGCTTGACAATGAAAGTGGTAGTGGGTTGTTCAGGGGGAAAAAGAACACTAATCAGCAGGAACTGCAGTTTCAATTCAGATTCATTGTGTATGGAAAAAACTTCTCCAGCCTACAGTCAAGGAAGGAATGTGAGCAGAGGCAATAGTAAGTGTGTAAGTTGGAGGGACAATTGCAAATCACATGAAATGTAAATCGTGTGATTATTCTACCTTCTCAGGTTATATAAAGTATATTTTAAATTGATCTTTGACTGAATATGAGAATCACCCCGTAAGTATAGAAATTTAAGGGGTTTGTGATAACAAAATACTAATTTAATTTCTGAATTTTAACAGCAAATAACACTAATTTCTCAATTTAAGTTATTCTCAAAATTGAGAAAAGTCATCTGATTACTCAAACACAATGAAGAGATAATTATTTTTTTAAATGTTTTGTACTTTCGTTACCTTTTGCATTTTTGCAGTGTCCAAGGACTTCACAATTCTGCTGAAGTGCTGAAGACCAAGCTCTTCTAGTTGAAAAGTAGCCAGATAACAGATAACTATCAAAAGATACATACATTTAAAATGCAGTAGGCAATTCTAATAAACCTATACTCAGCATACTCTGGGATGTAGACCGTCACTTTAATTTTAACAGTTTTGATAGTGATTTTTTCAACATACTCTATTTTCATGTTTTCAGGGAGGATGGCTCTTATTCTTCCGTTCCAAATTGTCAGTTTATTATACTTAACAACATTATACATAACAAAAATTTTAAACATAAAATTTCGTATTTATTGTACTGTTTTTCCCAAGTGACCACTTTGCCTAAAATGTTATAATATTTGTTTTTGTTCTTGGAAATAAAATCAGGTTTTTAAATTGGGAAATTCCAAACCTCATTCTTGCACCCCTCTCTGACAAGTTCACAGTATGATGATCTTTGAGTTCTTTTCTAACCTAAATGACTTATGATTCTGTTCTATGATACAGAAAGAGGCACAGTCAGTACTGTGAAATTTTTGCAGACCTGTAAAGTTCATGGGCTTCTGTATCAGCCTGCATTTGTTCACTCAGGCTTCACTTGTCCTGCAGTGTTTTAGCTGCCACCAAACAGTAATGGTAAAATCAGTAAATTCTGACCAGTGTGCTGCAGCCAGCTGAGTGTATTGTCAGGCTTCAACCTCATGTGCTTTAGTATAGCAACATATTTAAGCAGTCTTAGCAGAATATACATTTATCTCCTACAAGCTTTATTAAATTCAAATCTGCTCACACATAGCAACAGCCTTTATAAGCAGCTTTGATCATTTAAGTGTCAATGCAGCTTGGCAAAGGGAATCACAAGCAGCTTAAAAAAATGTAAGCCAATGACCTTAAACTCTCAACTTGTTGATAAAGGAAAATTTTCTGGGGCCTCCCCTCTGCCTATGATTAATGGAGGCTTTTGAGTGGACCAGTCCTGACAATCCAATTATAGCAACACTCAGCTTAAAGATATAATTTATGTGCCCCAGACAATGAAAAACATGGCCCTGGAGAAATGGAGACAATGAAACATTGCCATTTAGAATAAACTCAATACACTAATAATTTTTTCCTTGACAGTTTAGGTTTCCTTCTGTTTGTTATTTGATTTAGACTTCTGTACTTTTCCAGATTGTGACAGAAGCAACCACAACTGCCATAAAAAATTTGTAGCTTTTAAAACATAAAATGTAGATATATCTATATGTTTACTGTATTTTTCAACCACTTTGAATTGACATTCCAATATACCCACAAAGCATCTGAACATATCTGACTTAGAGAACCAATGCCAGTGTGATTTGTGATTCCAGCTTATTTAGGGACTTAATAAATCAACTTCAGAATGTGTGTATTAAATGCATAATATAAAAATATTTTTAAATTAAATTTTAATGCACTTCCCAATGTCTGAAATAACTTTTGGAGTAGTAACTATCCTAATTAACTAGCTCATAGTATCAGATGTAGCTGTATTGGAACTGATTTTAACCAAGTAACTAACACAAGGAAACCAGCTGACTTCACTCATGGAGACAGACAGAAGCCTGTTTATGTCATTGTGACAGTCAGTAATGAAGATACCCATGTATGGACAGAAACAATCCTATCTGCCTATGGTGAGATGTGCTGTTCCTCAGCAGATAGAGCTTTGTTACAGAGTTTTGTGTCTGAATGGCAGAGGTAATAGGTTGCATGGAAGAGAATAAAGGGAAATCAGCGAAGAACATTTTTTAAAGGGATGGTTAAATGTCTAAGATGCTTCTTCCAGCCAGTGATGCTTTTTCCACCTGCATCTTACCTGACTTTCTTAGGTAAAATTCCAGTTAACACCCGTAGGAATCCAGACTAAATAACAATTTCAAGTTTTAGACTTCACATTGTAAGGACATTGGAAAATGTCCTGTATTTCATACTGCACTAGGCACAATGACAATGCTCCGAATGTAATATAATACTAAGATCTGCACTAGTAAAATGCTATTTTTTAAAGTTTTGTGGTAAACACATTTGGTGTTGTAAAAACAACTCACCTATGTAGAGATTACGCTCAGGAATCAGGCAGTATCTCCCATCCTCAGCATAAAAGGCATTGACTACAACATCCAATAAGGATTTATATTCTGTGCATCCTGCTAGTGTATCCAATACAAATTTTTCTTCTGTCATCTTAAGAGTCTATAGAGATACAAAATTAATAATGATTAATGTATTCTGGAAAGAAAATGTTTGTTGTGTACAAAAAGTACAATCATTTTGAAGTAAGTTGAAAACAGGAATAACGAACAGCAGTGCCCTTGGTAGGGCTGATGCTCTTCTAATGCTGTCAAATATGGGCAGTCCCAGCAAACTAATGGCCCTTGTTAAGGAAAATGTAACCTTCCCTAGTGTTAAATGTTCAGTTTATCTGCTGACATACACACTGAGTTAAAGCCCTTGACGTGTGAATGTCAGAAGTTAATGCAAGAAAATCTGAAGTCACTGAGCTATGAGCAATGGTTAACCTACGCAACTGTATGAGAAAGTTTCAGTAAGAGTTTGGTTTTCCCATAGGAAACCTCTCCTTTGTTGGCGAAGTCTGTGCTACTTAGGGAGACTAAATTGAGGGGAGAAGCTAAACAGGGATTATGGACAAGACTCTTAATTATTCCTGAAACCTAAGTTTGGAAAATATGACTAATTTTAACAACCTGTGAGTGCCAGGATTCTTTTTAATGCAGACTGTTTCTTATCCAACTATGCTCTAGGTCTCTTATAATATTGATGCAATACCACAAGAGAACAGGAGAATCAGATGCTCACCGAATGCCTTTTGCATCCTACCACGTAATCCCTTTAAAAAGTTTGAATGCTCCTGAACTTTACAGAGAGTTTCTGACATAATAAATAACCTATGGAATATCTGTTACTGTATGAGATAAACTTCCAGTATGAACCACCTTTAAGCAGTGCAATAAAATCTGAGGCCCAGAACAGTTTGTCATTACATGAATTGAAAAAGGACAGCCATGCAATGACAAAATGACAAACAATAATGATCCTTTGATTTAAGGAGGTTAGACAAGAAGTCAAGAAGAAAGCTAAGTGCCTCTTCTGAAAACACATAGTCCACATTTGATATAAGATCTCTCCCACAGCTCTGAAATGTGGGAACAATTGAACTGCAATAATATATCAGATGAGAGGTTCACCTTGCCTAGGAGGCTCTCTGCTACCCTCTTGATCGCTTTATTTCCCTAATGTGATTCATTTCTAGTTTAAGGGTATTATTAGAGGCTGCTGGATGGAACTATGTGAGTTTTCTGATGTATGACACTATACAAGGCTTTGAGACTGAGCACATACCAGGCAAAACTTTACAGTTACAGTTCTAATTTTTAAATGTAAAAAATTATGGAGAAGTATTCAAAGCGTTATTTTCTCAGGTTGTCCTTCAAAGCAAGGATAAGTTTTTTCACTATTCCTGCTCAAAAGCCAGGTTTCGTTCCTTCCAATTTGTGCATATCACCAGAAAAAAACAGAGGAAAGAGACTGAACGCATCTGAAAATTTTCCAAAACCAAAAAAAAACCACTGATGGGAAGCATGGACTCCATCTTGCTAAGCACTGAGAATTCTTGTGAGGCACAAGTCCATTCCAAATAAACCTTTTATTGTTGAAGATTTATGGAAGTTCTTTCATAAAACTAACAAAGAAGATCCAGAAATCTAAGCCCCCACTAAATGATCAAATATACATATCCCAAATTTGATATGAGATATCGAAGAATTCACCACAAAAGGCAAAAGCAAACCTAAATAACTGAACTGGAAAAGTGAGAGAGGATGCACTTCCAGTAAAAGCAGGATTGTGACATTTTTAATCTAAAATAATTGGTCTCCTTGAGCAAATGCTCTTGTTCATGAACAGATCAATCTGCAGAAAACAGCAGATCTGGTAATAAACAGAAAGTCCATAGTAAAACTGGTCAAGCGCATTGGAAACAAGCCCAATAAAAACTCTCACAATTATCTCTGCTAGAAAGCTAGAATTTAAATTGTTTTCAAGATCTTTATTAGATTAGAATCTTTGCATTTGCCTTCTGTGTACTTTGATATGTCATACATGTATGAAGTGCTACAGCAAACCCGCGCTTTTCAAAGGGACTTTGGAGAAATGGCCAAAAGTAGATAAACAGATAACAGCATGATACCACCAGTGCCCAAATCATATCTCCCATACAGTAGAGACTGCAGCATAAAAATACAATGGCATATTCACATTTATTCTATTTTTACTGCTCTGAGTCGACAAATCAGTCACAAGCTAAGTGTTAGAATAAACACAGAAATAAGTGCTTACTCCTTGAGCAAGAAAATACATAATCACTACATGGCCTCAAGCCAAGCAACAAGGTGACAGGAAAGGCAGCCTGGAGACAGCTCTGCCCCAGAACATCAGTACTGATTGGTAATTCTGTGGACCACAGGCCAAAAAGTCTTACCATGAAATATAATCAGTCAAATATGATTTCAACCAGAGAAGGTACTAAATGTTCTGTTCCTACATGTAAAAATTGAGAATAGTTAAGCAGCCTGCAGCTGTGTCATCGAAGGAAGTGATCTCATAAAAACTCATAATCAACTAAACAAGACTGGGAAGGAGGAGTACTTGGATAGGAAATCTCAGAGGTGAGCCAGTTGTTGGTTAAGCCCTGTGGATAATTTAGTGAGTCAAAAACTGAGTCAATGCTTTAAACCAGTTAGGATACTCTGCATAGAAAGTGTATTGTGTCCTCTACAAATTTCTTCAGGGATATTTAGAATTTATCTGTATATATGAAATAATAATTGCTTTGGGAAAGGAATATGTTGGGTCGGTGTAATTTCTGGCACTAATTCCTAAATATATTCTTTCTGAGTAGCTTTATGCTGCGCTTTATGTCAGTGGGATTGGGGACCCCTGGTGGCCTAGTGGTTAGCATGCAGGACTCTCACTGCTGCGACCCAGGTTCGAATCCCAGTCCCCCCGGGCAGATGGAGCCCATTAGCCCTGTGAGGCCATCCATCTATGAGAAGGTCACTCTAAACAAACCTACGTCCTGAGGACCTCACTGCCATTGTCCAAGCTTGCTTGGCCCTGGCAGATGAACCTTAGGATTAAAGGGTGGGCTCAGTTCAGCGCAGGCTGTGTCTCACCTAAAAAATCCATTGCGCAGGCTGGAAAGGTAAAAGACCTTTCCCCAAATCTTCGTTCGCGAAGACTGGCCATTATTTATGTCAGTGGGATGTATTTCAGAGTGGGACAAATGATCCTGAAACAGTACAATATGACAGATTGTATGTTTATAGCACCTTTTGCCTGAGGTTTTCAAAACACTTTACTAACATTAATTGCATTTAGTGAGATTCCTTTTGGCTACTATTACTCTCTAAATGTAGGAACTATGGCATAGAGCAGGTAAGAGATTTGCCCCAGGCAGCACTAAGTCATTGGTGCCAGCAAGAATAAATAAATGCTAATTTGTGAGCCTCTGATCTGTCCATCAGAGCAACTTCTTACCTTTTCAGGTATACTTTAACTCATGTATTTCTCTGAAACAACCAGCAGTTAGCTGTGTTTGCAAGTACGTGTGAGCCCTTCAGCATGAGGAAGGCCAGATAATTTACAGGTCAAAGTAACACATGCAGCAATCATCTTCTGGTGCACTTAATATTGAAAATTTACAAAGACAAAACAGATTTTGAATAGATACAAATATCTGACACTGTTCTCTCTATGGCATTGAATTTAATCTTTTTCTGATTAAGAAGTGTTTAAGTTGTAAAAAAAAAAAAGATTCTGCCTGAAATTATCGTTCAGGATAATGGAAAAAAGATGTGATTGTCTAATTATGTGCTGATTGGTGTTATCTTCCCCTTTTGAGAAATCCCTAATGCCCTTAGCCTGCTTCCATGGATATATTTTCCCTGCTCTCTGACACATACCTGTAGTTGTGAACAACTCAAGTTTCCTCAAGGAGAGAAGAGACTGTGTAAGAAGGCTTGTGTACACAACCAACTTCCAACATGGGTTAGTACAAGAAATAGCATAAATTAAATGGAAAAATATCTGCAAAATGAAAGCTTTGCCACCGTGGTTGTGTCATAATAAGGCTGGTTAGAAAAGGATAGGTGAGGAGAGAAAGAAAAGCTCTTGCTTCTGGAGAGAAAGAGAGAAAGAAACATCTGCCATGCTTTCTGTTTGAGACTTCTAAGGCTAAGGATACAGTCTGAGGTGAAACAAACAGTTTAGAAAGAAGACAATATTTGATGAAAAGATAAAATAGCTTTCACCTCCTGAGAGAACCAAATAATAGTATGTAGTGAACCTCTCTACTTCTAGGCAGAATATGCACATTTTGCAGATACAGTCTGATAAGTTTATACTGCTTCAGATATCAGAGTTAGTCCTCTCCAAGTGTCTAATCAAAATGCTGTGGAAAAGAAAAAAAATATTCCTATTTACTTCATCAGGTTTTGAATCACTCACCAGTCTTCTTTCCATTTGAAATCAGTGAAAATGCTTCCGATAATTTCAATGGGGGAAAAAAACTCCTTGGATCTTAGAATATAACTAGGATCCTGCTTCTACTATTCACAGTAGAATTTTCATCTTCAGGAGACAATGCTGACCAATGCTGTACCAAGAGGTACCGTTAACATTATTTTCCCTTGTAGTTAATATTAAATCGCATGAGCAGAGCACTGCAGAAAACTCAGATTCCATCCTTGCCTTAGGAAGATCCTAATCTGCATTTATGTCAGTAACTAATAATACAAATTAGAGTTGTATAATTTTGTAGGATTTTTTTTCACCACATCTATCATTCTTGCCTTACATTACCTTCATATTTAAAACTAAATCTATGACTTTTGACATTTGGGGATTTTACTCACAGTTGAGTAAAATCAGTTGAGTGGGCATGTGTGAGACACAGCTGAACCAGCACAAATGAGAACTATGAAGAGTTGTGCCAAATTACACCATGTTCTTGTGAAATGAAAATCTTATAAACAGGCTCATCTTGCTATCAACACGAGAGGGATAAAGGAGCAAAACAGTGAATTTGGGGTGGCAGTTTTGATTTTACAGAACTAAGCTTTTCAGTAGCTGGGATGTAGAAAGGTCAATATGATGGCTCTGATCCTGCAACTCTA